CAGAGACCTTGAGCGAGAGGCAGAGAAGTGGGCTCGAACGGGCGGCCGGAGAAAGGATGCACTACTTCCTGAGGCAATCTAGAAACGAGCGAAAGAAATGCAGTACCAGGAGCGGCACCACCACTCGCATCCACATAGGCTGTGGACATCGAGTCGCAGGAATATGCCCATGAACAATTCTTCCTCATCGACCCGATCGAAGGCCCATCGCCATACTACCTCGCGATAGGGAGAAAGAAAAAATATGTGGAAACTTTTGGGGGACAAATCCCAGAGCGCCTACGAAGGAGGAGTGTGTCTGTGTGGATGTTTGTGAGTTGGGCTCGTTTCCGCTCTATTCTACGTTGACGCTGCCGACAGGTGTAACTTCATGGACACCTGGGAAACTAGCGAAAAACATCTGTATGTTTATACATGCGCTGATGGCAGCGCATGCACTTCCTCATCATTCTAAGTTTTGATTTGATCATAGAATGTTATTTGTTGTGATATTTAGCTGTCCAGAATCCAGACCTGCGAGCTTGCGGCTCCTATATGGAGCTACATCCCTCGTTTGTTCATCTTAAGTTACTAAGTTTGTAGGCTCGACCTGGTTGGGAGTCTCACTTACTGAGAAAAGAAACTGTAAACTAAGACTGCAAGATTTCCCAGCGCTTACTTGATTGCTCATCTTTCCACTTTGGTTTGCAACAAATTGTTGCTGTTTATTTTTTCCACTTTTCTTGCCTGATACACCCACGGGAGTCTAGAACTTCGGATAGCAAAGAAATGACCGAAGAATCATTTGCCTTCCAAGCTCAGACATACCGTCGTATATATATCTTTCTAGTTGTTTTGAGAAGATTTAGCAACCACTGACATAATCCGCCTTGAACTGGCAGCCGTCATTGTAAGTCTTGACACCACACTTGGCGCAGTTACGAGCACGGAGTTCGTCAAAGGCAGTGATCATCTCAGAGCCATTGAGGTCGCAGTTGGAGCCAGAGACAAAGAGGCCACAGTGGCCGGAGCAGACGCCAGTGGAGCCTTTGTTGCCGCCGGTGAAGTAGCGGTTGCTAGGCTGAATCTGGCAGCGAGCAGCATCACAGTCGCTCTGTGCGAGACCCTGCACAGTGCAGAGCCCGCACACGAGTAGGAGTCCTGAGCATAAGAGCCTTGCAACAACATGATGATCATGAGATTCACAACAAGTAAGACATTGAGAGCTAGCGCCATGTTCGTCGACTTCATGGTTACTAAGTTACTGATAGATCTCGAGCCCATTATTTATATGGTGTGGGCTGGCATAGAAGCGGGTCTAGAGCAAGACTCCAAAACTTAGGCGGTCAAGGAGGACCCCATTTATTAATGCATACAGGTCACAATTTAACGACTTTCACATAGATGGACACGTAGAAGAAAGTTCTATAGAACTTCAGTGGCATTTTATTAAAATCTCATTTTTCTTTGTTAAAAATTTGCTCTTCTGTCACTGGCAATAGTGTTTATATATATCAGCTCGATCTACATTGTGGAGCCACCGAGTCCATTGGCAGGCTAATGGCCCAGATCACCTCATTTTGATCATAATATCTGGTAGCATTGTCCTTAGGAATAGTACTAGTCAAGATCTAAATAGGTAATACATACATACATATATACATATGTATATATTACTATTTTAAAGATATATTTAATATTTAATTATATACACATTCAGATAAATAATATTAAAAAGAGAAGCTTGTAATATATCAAAATAAATTAATTAGTATTTAAGAAGGTCAGCTTTCATAACTGTAAAAAGAACATTGATCACTGTTTGGTGTTGGGTGTGAGGAGTATATGTACAGTATCATGGAGATTAACAAGTGAGTCACAGCTTGTTAAGGTAGGAGAGTGTTTTGGGAGTCAGTTGTTTATATTCTCCAGTACAATTCAGGAAAGTGGGTCATTGAATCCATGACTTTTGGCTATGTCCAATCTTGGGTACAACCAGAGCTTTGAGGGAGAGGATCACTTCTATAACCTAGACACCATGCATTGGAGTCAGCAAGCAGTGAGCCAGGATCCATTTGGCTATTGGGACTACACCAAGTATCCAATACGGTATGAGAGGATTTCATTGGTACACAAGGAAGCTAGAGAAGGATGGGGAGCTTGGTAAATGGGTCACACTCAGCCATGGTCGTATCTGGGAAATACTAGTGGCCACTTCATGACATCAATGAAGAATGGATGGCTCACCTTAATTTTTTGTGTTCTTAATTTATATTATGGTGTACACTATAAAAATGCAGTTATCGTTTATACTATTACCATCTCATCTCGTCGAGAAGTGGGAGTATTGTAGTTATTTAGAAAAAGAGCTTGCATAATTTGGAAGCCTGGAATACAACCAACACTTTCCTGGCCCTATATGATATTTCCACTAATCTTAAAATTGGAGAACTAAATAGAATTTTTATATTTTGTTATATGTAAGGAATATATGTAAAACTAGTAATTGCCCAGAAAATGTTGGTTAAATTAAGCAGTATTGCAATCTATTTTTGGCATGCTATTATGGTCTCCATTTGGGAGGTTGCTGTTCGATGTACTTTAAAATGGATCTGAAAGGCAGGTGGTGCGCAAAACCTTCTCCCAATAGCTTGAAGCTGCAAAACTCGGGAGGAAGTAGTTTAGTTGGTGCTTTTGCTTGCATGGAATCCCTCAATAAGGCTCAATCTGAGAGTTAAGAACAGAAATTTCCAAAAAAAAAAGTTGCAGTTCTCTTGCCTTGAGAAAAAAACTAAAGTCCCCGCCCTTTCTTCACAGTGGCAGCCTTCTTCTTGGCAACGACCGCTTCTCTTTCACATAATTATGCCTGTAATCACACGTGGGCGAAACTGAACATTTGTTTCTCTAATTTTTGTCCTATTATCCAGGCTTTACACTTGCATGCAACAATGCAGGCCGAGAAACTTCAAGATTCAAAGTACCTGTTTGTAAGCCAAGCCGAATCACTTTTTACAGCCTCTCCGTCCTGGTTACGGTGCCAATAGTAGAACGCATGCGTCCTGTTTTTGATCTCGAGCATTGCGTGACCAAAACTCGCCTCGCGATATGCCGAGTAGTTTGGCTGCGGTTGCGTGAAGCTGGGAAAATGTCCGTATAAATCTCACAGGGCCGGAAAGAGAAGACTAAGAAAAAACCACCTACTTTCCAGCGAGCCCTTCTATGTTTCCTCCATCGCCGACTGTTATGTAGACAGGCGCAGACTCGTTGCGGGATGGAGAGCATTGGCCGTTGACAACGTTGTACTCGATATTAGAGACGCGGTGCTGTGGTCACAAAAGCATTAAGAAGAGAAAGCAAGAAAAGAGAGAACAAAACTTACACTCCGTTCGTATGCATGAACGTGCCCGGCAAACACAATGTCGACTCTGTATTGCACAAGCCATGCTTCGAATTGCACACGCATCGTTTCGCCCTCCATGTAGTGATACATGTTACTGTTGTACCACGGGGAATGCATCAAAACAATCACCCACGGGGTTTTCTTCCTGTTAATATTCTGGAGGTCATTCTGCAGCCATGCCCACTGCGGGGTATATTTCCCTGCACGACCGTTGCTTATAAGAAACATTAGTTCAGCAAACCATTCGCAAACCATATGCGGAGTATGAAGACAGCACGATGATGTGCGCTGACGCCCTGTTGATCGAATACCAGAGCTGCGATGTACTCTTTGATGAACGATGGGGTGTTTGATAGCGATGAAGATACGGCTTGAACGGTACCACCTCGCTCTGGAAGAAGTTAGCACCGCCGGAAACTTGTAAGCTATATAACCTGGGCTTACAAATTCTGGACGGTAGTCTAGCTCGTGGTTTCCTGCCGTCCAGATCCAAGGTTGATACGCGGTGCTCGGCTCCACCAATCGACCCCAAGTGTCCCAGCGAGTATTGTCGCCCAAGGGATAATGATCGGCGTACGAGAGGTCTCCGACGTAGAGAACAGTCTGTCCGCTGCTGTTTAAGTAGTGCTGAAAGGTGTTGAGGGAGTCATACGTCTGTCCGAGATCTCCTGCGACAGAAGCAATCGTCGGTTTCGAAAGGATATAATAGAAAACAGCGACACAAACCTATGACGCCAAATGTGTACGCAACGTCGGGGCCAGATTTCGGTGGCGTGACGAACCAGAATTCTCGAGCGCATTCTCCGTCACCGAGTCTGTAGTAATACTTCGTAGCATACTTTGGACAAGGAAGAAAGAACCAAAAACAAGGAAAAATACAAACACAACAGTGAGTCGGCCAGAAAACTGTAGATCATATCAAACACACCTCGAGATTAGTGAGCTTCACATGGTGGATGTAGCCAGATGTGTAGTTCGCGTACTTATATCTTGTGATGTTTCCAGTCGCCGTCCTCGAGTACTTTGCGGTCTCGTTTCCAAACGTTACAGCCAATGATCCAGGTTGCGACGGAGTAACCCAGGAAACGATCATGGAATCCGCAGTAACACTCCCTTGCGTTATGTGGACCTGGAACACAAAGCTCTAATCCAACCGAGGAGTTATCGCAAAGAAAACCTGTTCTGGCGCATTTCCACAGCCTGCTAGATCAGGAGGTCGCAGAAATTCGCTGCCAACGGGCAAATCCTCCGAGGCTTGGAGCCTCCGCCGGTAAGGGCTTGTGATTCCCGAGGAGCCGCATTGGAGCTGGAGCTGGAGGATGAGCGTGAGAAGCAGCAGCGGCAGCCCTGCAAAGCATAGCTCAAGAATCGATCGCTGCAATGTCGCACTGATCGGCGCTAGAGACTGTGCCATACCTGAGGCGAGAGCATTGATCGCCATGCCCGATTCCACGCCCGCACGCCTTCGCAGGGCGTCCTGGCAGGCGCTGCGATGGAGCTTTTATATGAGTCAACACATTGATCAAACAAGGCGGCACATATTCGCATCTATTCGTTTGCATGTCGTGCTCATATAAAATACTCGTTCACATCATCTTCGCGGCTCCGTACGAGGACTGTAATGGACCACCACCTTCCCGTACGGTCCATCGATACCTTGGACTCCAACAAGCTCATAGAGACTTACGGAAAGAATGGAAGAATCGAGCACGCAGAGCGCATCTTTCAGGCCATGGAGCCCAAAGATCCCTTCACTTGGATGTCGATGCTGCGCGCATATTCCCGGAATGGGTATCTGCGAGAAGCGAAGGATCTTTTTGATGCCATGCCCGGAAAGGATGCCGTCTCCTGGACAGCTATGCTCGCGGCATATTCCAAGCACGGGGACATCAATGCATCTAAGATGCTGTTTGACAAGATGCCATGCAAGGATCTAGTGGCCTGGAATGCCATGATATCAGCATATGCCGCAAACGGGCATCATAAGAATGCTATTGACTTGTTTGACCAGATGCCACAGCGAAACTACGTGACGTGGACCACGGCGTTGACCACATTTGCACAAAGAGGCCAATTAGCGGAAGCAGAGAGAGTGTTTAGTGAGATGCCCGAAAAGGATGTGGTGTGCTGGTCTGCCATGCTAACCGCATATACCCAAAGCGGGCATCTGGACCGCGCAAGGGATCTTTTTTACCAAATGCCGGCTTGGAGCGTCCTGTCCTGGACGGCGATCTTCTCTGCCCATGCTCGCCACGGGGACCTGGAGCGCGCGAAGGAGATCTGGGATGAAATGCCGGAGAGGAATCTAGTCTCATGGGCGGCGATGATGCATGCCTTTGTCCACACTGACGCTGCCACAGTGAAAGAGCTGTTTGATTCAATGCCAGCGCGGGACATTGCCGCGTGGAATGCGCTGCTCGCCGCAAGCACCCAGCAAGAAGACCTGGTTGTAGCTAAGGAAGTGTTTGATCGAATGCCAGAACGGAGCCTCGCGTCCTGGACCGAAATTCTCACGGCTTTGGTGAGGGCCGAGAACCGGGACGGAGCCAGTAGGATCTACCGAGAAATGCCCGAGCAGGATCTTGTTGCCTGCACTGTGATGCTATCGATCTTCTCCCAGGATCTAGAGGCGGCCAAGCGGTTTTTCGATGGGATTCCAGAGCTCGACAGCGTGTGCTGTAGTGCCATGCTCTCCGCATATGCTCAGGCTGGGCATATCGCTCAAGCTAGAGGGATCTTTGAGAAAATGCCAGAGAAAACCATCGCGGCCTGGAATGCAATGCTGTGCTCGTATACCCAAAACGGGCATATGGAACTTGCATGCTCTCTCGTGGAGACGATGCCAGAGCTGGACGTGGTGTCGTCCATCGCTATGATCTCAGGTTATGTCGAGAAAGGAAACATCCAAGAATGTAAAACGATATTTGATCAAATTCTTGATCACAACGTTGTCTCCTGGACTGCCATGCTAGCTGCATATGCCCAACTTGGGCATGTCGACGACGCAAAGAAGTTTCTCGATAAAATGCCGCAAAGGAACTTGGTTTCGTGGAACACTCTCCTGTATGCTTACTCGCAGGCACAACGAGTCGAGGAATCCAAAAGAGTTTTTGACACAATGCCTGAGAAAGACTCTACGTCCTACGCAGTGATGTTGGCTTTGTACACTGGACGCCAAGATCTCGAGCAAGCATGGTGTGTCTTCGAGAAGATTCCAGAGCCAAGCGTGACATGCTACACGACTATGCTCGTCTCTTACGCTCAGGCCGGGGTTCTAGGCCAAGCGAAGCTCGTCTTTGACAGAATTCCAGACAAGAATCTCGTGTCACGGAATGCCATGCTCTACGCATACTCCCACAACCATCAAGCCAGGGAAGCCAAGGAATTGTTTGATGCAATGCCCGAACGTGACACCATCTCTTGGTCGGCGCTTCTAGCAGCAAGCGCTCAAACCATTGACGCCTCTCGAAACTTTTTCCAGGCGATTCCGGAGCACAACTTAGTGTCTTGGACAGCATTGGTGGTGAGATACGCTCACAGTGGTTATCTCAAAGAGGCTGCCGAGATTTTTCACACGCTAAACCTGTATGAAATGCCGAAAGAGAACTGTTTTTCTTCGCTTTTCCTGGCTTGCAGCCACAAAGGGAAAGTCTATGCGGCTAGGTGCTGGTTTACTTCCATGGTCGTGGATTTCTCGCTCGCTCCTGGAAAACAGCATTACTGTTGCATGGTTGACATCTTGGGAAGAGCTGGGCATTTGAGCGCCGCAGCGAACTTGATCGCCAACATGCCTTTTGCGCCCGATTCTCTGGAATGGAAAAGTTTCCTTGGAGCTTGCGGTAGACACAATGATCTTGAACACGGAGCTCGAGCTGCCGAGAGCGTTCTTGACGTGGAGCCACGAGATTCCGCGGCATATGTACTGCTTTCGAATAGCTACAGGAGAAATCCAATGCTAGCCTCTGCCTAACAACACCGGAGGATCAGTTCCAACCTCTTCTTTGGATCGAGTTTTGTCCATTTCTTGGCAAGCATTTGGTGCCAAGATGCAAGCTTGCGACAGCAGCACATATGGAGCTCCTTTCTCTGGAATGACATCAAAGATGGATTTCGTTGCTTCCTTGGCTCGTTCGTGGAGCTCACAGCCTCTGTGAGACCCAAGCACGGACGTCCAGTCCACACCATTAGCTTCAAAAGGCATGTTTTCGATCAAATCTCTGGCGTCTCTCGTGTACCCAGCTCGAGCAAACAGGTCCACCATGCAGCAGTAGTGCTGCTGCGAGGGTCTCATTTGGTGGCCCTCGATCATCCCAACAAAGAAGTTTCTTCCACTATGAACTTTGCCTTCGTGACTGCAAGCAATCAGGATCAGTATCAAACTCAGCTCGTCGAACGAGTCCGCCACCTTCATTTCGAAGAAAAACCTCTTGGCCTCCTCCAGATGCCGGTTTTGGGCGTAAGTTGCCAGCATCGCGTTCCACGAGATGGTGTCTCTTTCTGGCATTTCTTCAAAGACTTTCTTTGCTTGATCCTTGCGGCCATTGTGGCTGTAAGCAGCAAGCATCGAAGTCCACGAGACTGGAGAGTGGTACGGCATGCTGTCGAATATAAACTTGGCTTCCTGGATATAACCATGTTGGCTATAGCCGCTAAAGGTGGCGTTCCAGGAGATGATATTCCTTTCGGGCATTTCATTGAAAACCATCTGTACTTCCTCGAGATATCCACCTTGGGCATATCCGGAGAGAACAACATTCCACGAGACAAGATTGCGATGAGCCATAGTCTCAAAAAAGTGTTGCATCCTCTTTAGATCTCCACTCTGGAAGCAAGCGCCCAACAAGGCATTTTGAGACACCACGTTGTGTTCTGGCATTTTTTCAAAGAGTTCTAAAAAGTTTTCTAAATCTCCTCGATGAGCATATGCAGTTAGCATGGCATTCCATGACACCAAGTTCCACTGAGGCATGCTCTCGAAAATGTCCACGCATTTCTCGATAAGCCCATATTGGGCATATGCGGAAAGCATTGCCGTCCAAGATATCACATTTCGCTGCGGCATCTCGTCGAAGAGAGATCTCGCCTCTAAGGGAAATCCATTTTGAGCATAGGCACTCATTAATGTATTCCAAGAGATTAAGTTCCATTGGGGCATTCTATCGAACGCCAACTTTGCCTCAGAAAGATGACCGTTTTGAGCAAAAGCAGCGAGCCTGGCATTCATCGAGATAAGATTTTGCTGTGGCATTTCATCAAAGATTCTCTCGGCAAGCTCGAGATGCCCGTTTTGGGCATACGCAGCTAGCATAGAAGCCCAGGAAATCAAGTCCCTCTCCGGCATGGCATCAAACACCAGCTTGGATTTCTCAAGGTGCCCATTTTGGGTATACGCCGCAAGAACAGCATTCCAAGAGCTAACATCATGTTGTGGCATGGCCTCAAACGTCGTCAAGGCTTCCGCAAGATTCCTGTTTTGCGAGTAAGCGCTGAGCATTGCGTTCCAAGAAATGTAGTTCTTTTGTGGTAGCTCATCGAACATTAATTTTGCAACCTGCAAACGCCCGTTCTTGGCATATGCTGCAAGCATGGTGTTCCAGACGGTGACGTCCCACTCGGGCATTTCGTCGAACAGCTGCTTTGCTCGATCAAGGTGACCATTACGAGTGTATGCAGTGAGCATTGCGACCCAAGTGAAGACACTTTTTTTCTTCTTGTCCTCGATTGCCGCAAAGATCTTCCTAGCATCCTGGACGCTGCCGCAGCGCCCATACATCTCGATGAGCTTGTTGGTGACGAAAGGGCTGGTGTTGCTGGAAAGGGTCGCGTGAATTTTTCTGGCTGTTGTGAGGTCATCGCAGCTCTTGATCAGTTCGATGCAGTCCCGAGGCTGAAGCATTCCATCTGTTTTGCTTTTGATTTTCGATAACCAATAGTTTTGTGACGCACGCTTGATTGAAACTCATGCTCTTGCCCGATCCATCAATGGGCAGCACGACGCATTCGTTCTTTGAGCCAACACCATTCGAAGCCATGGTCGCATCTACGAAGCTTATAATCGCAGAGGCCTCCAAAGGGCATCTGGACAAAGCTCGTCTCATCTTTGACGCAATGCCGCAGCACGATTCCATCTCCTGGAACACAATGATGTCAGCATATTCCACACATGGCGATGCTGGAAAAGCAAAATGGTTTTACGATAGAATGCCCGAGAAAACAATGCTCTCGTGGACATCTATGATGGCTGCATATACCACAACTGGGGATTTTGAGCGTGTCAAATGGTGTTTTGATCATATGCCCATGCGGGACGTTGCGGCATACAATGCCATGCTGAACGCCTACTTAACCGATGGTGACATATTTACGATGAGAATTTTGTTTGATGAGTTTCCAGAAAGAGATATAATCTCATACACAACAATGCTGTCTGCTTATTCCCAAAGTGGGAATCTTGAAGAAGCAAAGATGGTATTTGATGGAATGCCATGGAGGAGCATCTACTCCTGGAACGCACTGCTCGTAGGATATGCCGAGAATCAAGACCTGGAGGATGCGAGGTATTTTTTTGATCGCATGCCACAATGGAATGTAGTTTCCTGGACAATAATGATTTCTGCATATGCCAAGGCCTTTAGCAACACGGACGCCATGAGCTTGTTTAGAGAGATTCCAGAGTGGGATATAGCTTTGTTCAATGCAGTTCTGAATGGTTTCAATGAATCAAGGGATTTGGAAAAGGTAAAACGATTCTTTGACGAGATGCCGGCTTGGAATCTAGTCTCCTGGACCACTTGCATTCAAGCATTCGCCTTGGAAGGGGATATCGCAAACTCCCAGAGAATCTTCGACATGATGCCTTGTAAGAACCTGGTTGCTTGGAACGCCATTCTTTCAGCTTACATTCAAAATGGAAACATCAAAGATGCCATCCATACATTCAAGGCTATGCCCCAACACGATCAAGTGTCATGGACTAGCATGCTCTCTGGATACTCGCGCTCCGGGCATCTCAACGAAGTTGAGTCTTTGTTCGAGCGATTGCCTTGCAAGTGTCTTTGCTCTTGGAATTCTCTGCTGGTGGGATATGCTGATAACTTGCATGTGGAGAAAGCCAAGCAAGTTTTTGAGAAAATGCCCCAGCATGATCAAATCTCATGGAATGCACTGCTTGAGGTGTATTCTAGAGTTGGCGACCTTGCAAAAGCAAGGGGTATTTTTGAGGCTATGCCCGATAGAAATATTGTGTCCTGGAACACAATGCTCACTGCTGTTTCTTGTAGAAACTACTTGGGGAATGCATGGAAGCTTTACAATATGATGCCTGAGCATGACTTGGTATCGCCCAGCATACTTTTGGCTGCATATTCTCATGACTTCGAAAAATCTAGTCAAATCTTCCACTGTTTAAGTATTATATATTCTCCAGACAATGCGAGTTTTACATCACTTCTTGCCTCTTGCAGTTGTACAGGGACACTCTCTAAAGGATTAGCTTACTATCATTCTATGTCAATAGATTATGCTTTGGTTCCAACCAAGCAACACTATTCTTGTATGTTAGATTTGTTCATTCGATCTAATCATCTTCAAGAAGTAAACGAACTCTATCAACAACACATGAATTTATTTTAATATTTTAATTCTTAAAAAAAGAAAACTCTTCAGCACAGCAACTAGGATTTTTAAAATATATAGTTCATAAGAATTAAAATTGATCACAATTATAACAAATTCAAAGCAATGTTGCTTATCTGAACGGAATCGTTTAAAGGAAGGTTTTTAAAGTAAATTACTACGTAGGACTAGGTCGTGTTGCAATAAAGAACTGGAATAATGAGTGAGCCAGCGGCAGGCGACACTCTTACAATGGCGGCGCTCAAAGTGCTGTGCATGGGTGATCCATAAAAGAAGGCCGAGTATGGAGACACCGCCGCTACTCTCTGGCAGAGCGGAGCCATTCTCGTGCCCTATGCCACTGCACAAGAACAAAAAGTACCGGATCATCCTGCCCGCAACTCCATCGTAAGTTTCCTCTTTGATTTCCATTTGGAGCTCTGTTAGAACGATGCTCTCTCGCTAGGTGAAGCTGGTGGCTCCTCAGCAAATGCCCAAGCTTGGCAAGGCCGGTAGCTTGCTAAGCCGCAAGGCGCTTCTCCACAGTCTTGTCAACATCGAGAGCTGGGCGATCGATCTTTCTTGGGTATGTTCTCCGGACAAAATCTCCGTCCACTACTTTATAGTAAACACTTGTGTGTTGCTCAGGATATTATAGCTCGATTTGGCGAGGAGGAGCGGCTGCCAAGAGAGTTCTTCGACGATTTCGTCCAGGTTGCTCAAGACGAAGGCAGGCATTTCAGGCTCCTGGCTGCTCGGCTCGCGGAGCTGGGATCCTTCTACGGCGAGTTTCCTGCTCACGAAGGCCTGTGGAGCTCCGCTATCGAAACTTCCGGCGATCTAGCAGCCAGGCTCGCCGTGGAGCATTGCGTTCACGAGGTTGGACTCTCTGTTTGCGTGAAGATCTTAACTTGAAACTTTGATCGCAGGCTCGGGGTCTCGATGTTCTTCCCACCACCATCTCGCGTTTCCGGAAGAATGGCGACGAGGAGACTGCCAAGCTGCTCGAGTCTGTGATCTATCCCGAGGAGATCACTCACTGTGCGGCTGGTGTCAAGTGGTTTGCATTCCTGTGCGAGCGAAGAGCGCAAGGCCGAGAAGGCGAGGTGGACAAGGCTGCCATTGTCAAAGAGTTCCACACCACTGTGAGGAAGCATTTCAGAGGTCCCTTGAAACCACCTTTCAATGAAGCCGCGAGAAAAGAAGCTGGCTTCGGTCCCGAATGGTACTTGCCTCTTGCAAAGAGCGATAAAGCACAAGCCTGACAAGAAAATAAAAACCATTTTTTTTTCAGAGAAAAAAAAAAAAGAGAAAACAAGACTTAATCAGACAAAAGATTCGGCCGTGGACGGCAGGATTCGAACCTGCGCGGGCAAAGCCCACATGATTTCTAGTCATGCCCGATAACCACTCCGGCACGTCCACCAAGAACGAAAACAAGCTCCTGGCCAAACAACTTAGCTCCAAATGCATCAACATAGAATTCTTTAAAAGCTTACTTATCGTTTGCGGAATCGCGACTGGAGCAGCGTGAGCAGCTCCCTCGTCTCGGCATCCACGGAGAAGCCCATCTCCATCGTCCAGTCCATGAAACGCTTGAGAGAAGCCCCGTGGTTCAAGTAGGCCTTGAGCACCACCCTGTAGACCCGCATGTTGATGAAATGCTTGAGCACGCTGTTCATCCGGAAGATCCTGTCGATCACCGCCACCTCCCCGCGGCTTGCGAAATGATCCAGCAGATCGAGCACCACCCTCTCCCACGCGGAGCAAATGCAGCGATCCCTCAGCACCGTGCACCCCATGGTGAAAACCTGGAGCGCCTTCTTCACCTCTCCCTCACGCAGGTAGCCCGCGATGAGATACTTGTAAACGACGAGCCTGTGCTTCATCCTCTTCCGCGGGAGCTTCTGGAAGAGCTCCCGGGCCTTGTCCGCGTAGCCGTAGTGCGTGTAGACGCTGAGCATGGCGATGACTTGGTTCGTCTCCAGGAGCCCGTCCACTTTGGCGAAGATCTCCTCCGCCTTGTGGACTCCCTCGGCTTTCCCAAACGCGGCGATGGCGTAGCTGTAGCTGTCCACGGCCTTGAGAGGCCGGCTGCTCAGGATGCTCCAGATGTTCTCCACTCCCTCCTTGTCTTTGGTGTCTCCATACAGCCGCAGCAGCTTGTTGTAAGTTGCCTGCTTCCTCCGGAACAAGCCCGAGTCGAGTCCCTCCTCGAGCTCCACCAGAGCTTTCCCGGCCTTGTCGAAGCACCCGACCGAGATGTATCCGCAAGCGAGGATGAGCAGCGTCGACTCATCGGGCCTCGCGTTTGGGTCCTCCTGGAGCATCTGGTACACCTCCTCCAAGCCGCTGGCGTTCTTCTCCTTGCAGTGGAAGCCGAGGTACAAGTTGTACGAGCTCACGTCCGGTGCCACTCCCAGTGACTTTGCCTCCTCGAAGAGATCCGGTATCCGTTTCCTCAAGTCCGGCTGCAAGGAGAACAGCATCATCTGGTTGAGCCCCGAGGCCTCGGTATACCACGACCTGTGCTTGAGCTCCTTGAAAAGTTTCTCCATCACCACCCGGTTCTCTCGCTGGGGCGAACTTCCGGCCATGAGGACGAGAAGCGCCTTCTTGCGCTTGTAAACCCGGGGGAGATTCGCAAAGATGTTCTCAGCTGCTCGATCGCACCCGGCCAGCGCCGCGAAAGCGATCTGGAACATGTAGTCGAGCTCTCCCAGCTCGAACTTCTCCGAACGGATCATGTAGTTGGCGACTTTCCAGCCGGGCTTGTATTTCTCGTTCCGGAGGAGCTTGAACAAGACGCCCCTCATCATCGCCTTGGTCATGTCGAGCTCGTTCTCTCGAAAGACTCTCACCACATTGCGAGAGGCGTCCACGCCTTTGATCAGCTTCTTCACCTTCTTCCACAGCGGCTCCGCGATCTGGCAGTACTCCTCCACTTCCTTCTCGCCATCGCCAAGCAAGGCCTCTATGCGGGACTGATCCTTGAGCTCTTGGTTGAGAAGCTTGATGTGCTCCACCCCGAGATGGTCCGCTTGATCTGGAAGCATAGACTGATACTCTGGAAAGTATTCTCGCGTCTCCTCGATCGTGAGATAGCTCCTGGAGCAGCAATGCAGGATGCTTCTTCCATTGCGCTCCAGTGTGAATCTGGGTGCCGCATTCCTTCGCCTGCACAGGATCCATGCCTGAAATCCTCATTGTGATCTCGACTCCGGCGAAGCGCTAGATCTTACCTCGCGCAAGCTCCACATTCACGCGCGCAAGAACCCTAAACCCTTGTGCCCTAAATTTCTCTTTTTTCTTCTCGAAAGGAATGCCATGGCGATCCTGTCGCCCAGCGCTCCCGGCTGCTGCTGCTACAGCAGGAGAGTGAGATCTTCTGGGGATGGACGACGGCGGATGTGCATCGGCGCCTTGAAGCTGGCTGAGCGCGCGAGATTCTGGACGGGATCTGGCTGTGCATTTCGCAGCGGTGAGATTTTGCTGTTTACCTCTCAGAAAAGGAAGAATCGAGTGAAGGGGTGCAGCTCCAGCGGCATGCATTTTGCGACCATGGCTGTGGATTACTACGAAACTCTGGGAGTTCCAAGAACAGCCACCATTCTGGAAGTAAAACATGCATACCGAAAGCTCGCGAAGAAGGTTTTGCTCACATTTTCTGGCTCTAGTTTTCATCTGAGATTTCTAGCCTTTTGTTGGCAGTACCATCCAGACAAAGCTCCCGGGAACGAGGAGAAGTTCAAGGCAATCAGTGCAGCTTACGAGGTTTTATTTTTTCCTCTCACACTGGCTCGAGACTTTGAAGCCTGGATTTACCGCAGGTGCTTTCGGACCCGGAGAAGAAAGAATACTACGATAAGTATGGCGATGCCGATTTTCAAAACGGTGTGCCTCCTGTAAGTGTGATCCTTCTCGTCTCTAGATTTGATGGTTTATATTTTTTTGGTACAGACGAATCCTTTCGATATCTTCCGGTCTGTATTTGGAGAAATGGCTGGAATGAGACCCGAGAACTTCCAGGGCGCGGATCTTGGGTATAATCTCTGATTGATGTATACGCTGCTCTGATTCTGTGAAGCCAGGTACGAGCTGCATTTGGAGTTTACGGAAGGAATTTTTGGAGCAGAAAAGAAGATCGAAGTTTCACATTTAGAAACATGCAACAGTTGTGATGGCTCTGGGGCGTACTTAGGAAAGGTGAAGCCATGTAAGGGTTGCCGTGGCAGAGGACAAACATTTGAAACACAGCAAGCAAGCTACGGTACATTTTCCAGGGTAATGGCAGCTGTGTTTCCTACTTAGGCTCTTAAGTTTCGCTTATGCCACAGGTTTCAGTTTGTACAGATTGTGAGGGCCGGGGCGAAGTCATTCTCGACTACTGTAGAACTTGCGGAGGCGAAGGCGTAGTTTTAACCAAGAAAACGATTGACGTGAAGGTGCCAGCCGGTGTGAAAAATGGCAACACACTACGAGTGCCTCATGAAGGACATGCAGGGCCGAGGAGGTACGATCTTCGAAACAAAATCTACTTCAAAACACATTGTTTTTTTTTATAGGACCCCGCCTGGAGATCTCTACATCTCTTTGAAAGTAAAAGATTATCCTGGCATCAAAAGGGAGGGGAATAACCTCGTTTCTACCATCTCGGTTAGTTATGTGGATGCTATCCTTGGGACATTAGTGGAGGTAACACTCTTTTTTGTGGGCTGGATTGCGTGGCTTACGTCCAAGTTTTGTAGGTGAATACACTGGGTGGTAAAGCTGTTATACGAATCCCTCCAGGTACTCAACCCGGTGACACGGTGGTGCTTCCAAATCAAGGTGTTCCGAGGCTAGGTTCACCGCGTACTCGGGGTAGCCACATTTTTACAATTCAAGTAAAAATTCCCAGGTCCTTGAGGTGCGTGAAACAGCTGCACTGGATTTGTCGTTCAATATTTTTTTTGTTGCAGCTCTGAGGAAATTCAGCTGGTTGAACGACTGGCTCATTTGCAAAGGTTGAAGAGCGATTGGAAAACAAAGAACACTTTCAGTGGGAGAAAATCGACTCAAGGTAAAGTAATTTTGTGGTTTCTTACAATGCTTGAGCACTTTATCAACAGGAAATGGGGAAACTGGATTTTGGCAAGCCTTCAAAAATGCAATCGGGTATGGTTTGTCTCTGAACTTGTTTTGGTTAATAAATTCTTTATTTGAGCAGGGTTGGGGGGTCTCGTCCTCGGAGCAAGTTCGGCACTATGTCTCTACAACTGTCACAAAAGACTTGTCCTCAGTTTGGTTTTATTTCTTCTGCTGGAGCTTCTACCGTAGTACTCTTGGCTGCAGTACTCTGGACACTCTGCCGACCTCGAGATTGCCAAAAGAGGTGAAGCACCGGTGAAGATAACTCATATTTTATTCGGCTTTCGTTCAGAGGTAATAAATTTTGTTTGAAGATCTTACACAGCAGAGTTGATGGCTTTCCAGGCATCAGCCCAGGTCTCCATGACAGCAGCTACTCTTTCAAAGCTCGGATCGAGACCTCTCAGCTTACCTTTAACCATTCGAGCAATCTCCGCGTAGCAATCCTCCGCGTTAGTAGCATTCTTGGAAAGCCGAAGAGTTTGGAAGAAAGGTACGACGTCTTCCAGCAGGAGCAGCGGTTTAAACTCGGTCTTCAAGCTTGCAAGAGCCCCAGCAACAGCGCCATTGGAAGAAAAAGAACTATCAGGTCCTCTCCAAACGTATGGAACTCCAGTCTTGACGCCAAAGCCGAGATGGTCCGCTACCACTTTAGCACACAAGCCAGCCCAGACATCATCGACACTCGTGGAGCTGCTAGAGCCCGAGAACAGCGAATCCTGGCCGCCGATGCCTAGACGAAGAAGCATGCATGGTCCTATCAGCCGTCGATCAAACGCTACGTTGGATCCGCTGAGAGGGAATAGTGAGCCTTTGGGGATGGTGACGACGGCGTCCACGTAGCGCTGCGTGCGCTCGTGTGGCTTGACAATGGCCGTGGGAGCGTCATAGTCGGGCAAGCCGAGCGACAAGCCGTGCGACATGACGGTGGTGACGCCGAGACGCAGGCTAAACGGGTAGCCGCGGACAAAGCCGACCGAGTCCGCGCGGTGTGGATCATACAGGGTGTTGAAGTAGTACGGCGTGGCCTTGGAGCGTAGATTGGCCAGGTGCTGCTCGACAGCGTCCAGGAGCTCTCCGGAGCCGAGATCTTTGGCCGGGACAACGTCCTCGAGGAAGGAGACGACGTAGCGGGCTTTGGAGACGAGAAAGCCGAAGGATCGACAGGCGCTTCCAACGAAAGGATTGAGGAGGAGGGAGCTGAGCGTGATGGAGTGGCGCTTGCTGCTCTTGGTGGCCAGGGCCTCCAGGAACTTCTCGGCGTCCCGCTTGGTGACGACCTCGGAGTTAAGTTCGTGGAGGAGGAGGAGGTTTTGCAGAACTTTTTGCTGCTCGTCTTGCTCCTCCTCGTCCATGGCGTCGTCCGTCTCCAAAACTACGATGAGGTGGTGGTCCTGGAGGACAGGCTTCCAGGCCGAGAAGAGAGACTGGAAGTTTGATCGAGAACTCACCGTCATTACCACGTCCAAGTCCCGGCCCGCGTCCGCGTTCATCGCTGCGTGTGGATCCATGCTTGGAAAGCTCTTGAGGTTTTAATCAGCGAGTGGCATTTCCAATGCTTTTCCCTTGTTTTGTAGCAATGCCAACTTTCAAGAGGATCATTGTGAAGTCCACCTCGCAAACGACTAGTGGGGATTATAATTTCTGGATGATATGCTTCATGGTCTCACAGATTTCTCGAGCAACTTGCACATCTTTGGTACTATCTATCAATTCCTTTTGCCTAGCTATCCATCCTGTGATTTTTTCGATCTCCTTGCGAGCGGTGGCCTTGATGTCGTCTATTGTCTCTCGATGTTCTTCGATCTGTCCAGAAAGAAAAAGAAAAAGCTCGTGAGTTTCATGGCGCACCTGCTCTTTAAGAGAATGCGAAGCATCCATCTTGTTTAGATCACAGTGTGAAGTGCCAGAGAAAGAGCTTTGCAAACGAGAAATATTACCTGAGTTTGAGCTGTGTTGTGGTGGTGACTACTACCATCCTATAGAATTGACAATAGGTTCGCGGACAATGAATAAGTAGACAATAGTCAAATAGCTCACCTTGATGTTCATGAGGATCTCCACGATCGAATCGCGAGCGGCAAAAGCATTTCCATCCATCTGAGAGGATCATGTCAAAACGAAGCGCTATAAGAGATTATAGCTTGTTACCTCATCATCTTCGGCTTCTGAAATGGAGTTTCGCCGATCATCCTCGTGTTCATCCTGTTGATCATGAGGACGATTCGAAAACACAACGAAGAAATCATTTGCGACACCTTACCTCATGCTCGTTTTCTTCGGAAGAGTTATACTCGTTCACATCCTCGTCTTCTTCGTTGTAGCTCTCCACTTCCGCCTTAAGAGCCTCGAGCCTCGCGATTCGAGCCTGGTGCGATGGCCGGCCTCCAGCTTGTGGCCGATACCTTTCCTACAATGCGGGAGCTCATATAAACTCGCAAAAGCAAAACGTAGAAACTAGCAAAGAAGAACGAAATCTAGCTAGAACTTCCAACTCACCAAAGGATGCTCCTCCCTCATGGCGTTCATCTTCCGTATGAGAAGCTTGTCCACCCTCCGGATCCAGTGCTCGCGCGAGAAGTTGCCGCTGGGATCCCACACCCGGATGTAGTCCTTTTTCAAGTTCGCTCGCGCGTTCTGGAGCTGGGTCTTCCACTTGAAGCGCAGAGAGTCCTTGACCTCGTTGTAGCGCTGCTTCTTGAGCGCGTAGTACGTGCCGTGCGGGACGCCCTTGCGCGATTTGAAGCCCTTGGGCAGCTGCGACACGGGCGGGAGCTTGTGCCTCTCACACCGGTGCTCGTTAAACGAGCGCAGATTTCCATACCTCCGGTTGCATTTCCCCGCGCAGCACTCGAACTTCCTCTCCGCTCTGCGCCACGTCTCGCCGCCGTCGTCAGAGACCTCTACTTGTTCTTGACAACGAGCGAAAGTTAGATCAAAACAAGCCCCAAGATTCGCAATTTACCATGGCTGCAAACCCTGCGCCTCTTTCTCCCCCATTGCTCGTCAGCTCTTCGTCCCTCTAGAGCCATTGTGCAACCTATTGTCTAAACCCTAATTTCCATTAATTTTTCTTTCACCGACCCGTGTTAAAAATGGACTTTTACTTTGGCGTTAAACCCTTTCGTCGTCGATAGTGGCCTTGACCCCGCCACGGTAACAACAAAGAGACAAAGCACTGGGATCGTGTCAAGACAAACCAACCGTACGATTTGATTCGTCACTCAACCCCCAGTGGAATGTCCACCCTGAGTATATTAAAACAAAGAAAAGGTGGTGGCCCTTCTAAAGAAACTTAGACCTTCGTCCCGGTTGGCCAGGAAGGGATATGTGTGTTTATGTAAACCCCACCAGCAACAACAAGGCACCACCGCCACCTTTTTCCGTCAACCATCGTCTCATCTTTTCTTTAAATAATACCTTTAATATGTTTTTCCTTTTGTTTGTTGGGGTAGCATTCGCCACCAACCGGCTTTGCAACTAGCGTACCTCGCCAAAGAAAAAGAAACCTCTAGAGTCGTGGGGGTTAACTTAAGCACCTCTTCTTAAGTGGAATGCCAATGCGCTAAATTCTCGCCCTATAAATTGTAAGTTCTTGGTGGGAGAGAGAGAGAGAGAGAGAGAGAGAGAGGAGGAGAGAGAGGGCCGGCGCGAGGAGCTTCCTGGCTATGGCGGCCGCCGTCGTCTTCGTCCCCGGTGGCGCTCCATCTGGTGATGATCGGCGCGCCAAGGCGGAACCGTGTAAGTGATCGATCTTGTCTCGCTCTTCTTTCTCCCGAAGGGAAGGGAGAGGTTTCTAGGTTGCGCCGGCGCGACGAGGCTCTGATCTCGCCGACATACCCGGGGCTGGGAGCAAGAAATCCGCGCTTCCCAGCCGGAAGATGCCAGGAATGATCAAGGCGGACAGCGCATCACCGTCGGAGGCCTCGATTTCTCACTCTCTGCTGTCACTGCAATCCTCCTCTCCGCCCGCCGCCGCCGCCGCCACCACCACCGCCACCGCCACCGCGCCGGCGCCGCCGCCATCGTCGGAGGAGCGCGGCCTCCGCCTCATCCACCTCCTCTACCTCTGCGCCAATGCGGTGGCCAGCAACGATCTCCAGCACGCCAATCTCTTCATGGAGCAGCTATCGGGCCTGGCGTCGCTCACCGGCGATCCAATGCAGCGCGTGGCAACCTATTTCCTCGAGGGGCTGGCTGCGCGGGTCACCAAGTCCTGGCCCGGCCTCTACAAGGCGCTCTACTCCACCCGGCTCTCCTCGGACTCGGACATAGCGGCGGCCCGGCACATCCTCTTCTCGGTCTCGCCGTACCTCAAGTTCGGCTACCTCACGGCAAACCAGGCCATCCTGGACGCGATGCAAGGCGAGAAGGTGGTACACGTCGTGGACTTGGAGGTGGGCGGTGGCAATAGTGTTCTCCAGTGGCTGGCGCTCTTACAGGCATTTAGTAGCCGTCCGGAGGGTCCTCCACACTTGCGGATCACTGCGGTGAACGAGAAGCGCGAGGTGCTGGCGCTCATGGGCCAGAAGCTCACCGAGAGCGCAGAGCGGCTGGACATCCCTTTCCAGTTCCACCCGGTGGCGGTGAGCCCGGCGGCGCTCGAGCGCGACATGCTGGGCGTCAAGAGCGGCGAGGCAGTGGCTGTGACGTCGCTCATGCAGCTCCATTCGCTCCTGGCCGACGAGAAGGAGGATGGCAAAGTCCGAGGTGGTGATGGTGGCGGTACTGCAAGTTTTGGCCTGGCGCTCAAGGAGAGGAGCAAGAGCGAGCCGGGGTTTGTGAGCTGTAAGATGGAGGAGCTCAAGGAGAGCAAGAGCGGGTGCAAGCGGAGCCGGGATGCGCTGGGAACAGGTTTCAATGGCATCGAGACGAATGGTCGCGACGACTCGGGGCTAGAGCTGGGAATCGGGGTGTTTCCAGTGGCTCCCAGGGAAGCAAAGGCGGGAACGAGCAGCACAATCAGCCGCGTGTTGCAGCTCCTCCACAGCTTGAGTCCCAAGATCATGGTGGTGGTGGAACAGGAGTCGAATCACAATGGTGCTCTACACGAGAGGTTTGCTCCGGCGCTGCATTACTACTCGGCTATCTTCGATTCCCTGGACTCGACGCTCCCGCAGCACAGCAGCGAGAGGATCACCGTGGAGAGGCTCATCTTCGGGCAGGAGATCAGGAACATCGTGGCTTGCGAGGGCCTGGAACGGATGGAAAGGCACGAAACACTATCGAGCTGGAAGAGGCGATTCGAGCAAGCACACTTCTCGTCGTCTCTCCTGAGCCCGACAACCGCCGTGCAAGCGGAGCGACTGCTGACAATACATTCGCCTGACGGATACAAGCTACACCGCGAAAAAGGTTCTTTAATCCTTTGCTGGCAAGACACTCCAATGCTTTCGGTGTCTGCTTGGAAAGCTTGACTTCCTAATGCTTGCTCTTTTCTCTTTCTCGTTTTCTTTTTCGTTTTTTTTTCGTCTTCTTGATTCCCTGGCTGGCTATTGAGTGTCGTTACTCACATGGCATTGCAGCATTCCATTCCAGCGCTTGTTTGCCTGCGTTTGATTCTTCTTCACCTCCTAGGTAGTTTGTACATTAACAAGACGATGCATTTCAGCTAGCTGGCTGTTGTGCAAGACAGGAAAAAACGAAAAAACAAAGAACGCATACTGAGTGCAATGATGGATTTCATCAGGGTGGGAGTGAGCTTGTTTTGTTCCGTAAACAAATCTCACTCCCCTTGCTTATGTATGTACAGACAGGTCCAGTTTTATTGTAATCCAAAGCAACCTTTTGTTTTTGTTCCAGAGTATCGTTATCTCGTGTTCTTTTGGAGCGGTAGTGCTGAGCGCAAGATTTTTGTTCGCGCGATTGATTCCCTGACGAAGATAAGTAAGACACTCCACTCAAACCTCTCGAGAATGCGTCGAATCTGCTTTTGCTTTTTAACACCATTTCCCAGTATCAGGCCAAAGCTAGGCGACAAGGAGCAGTGTCATCTAGCACTAAGAGGTGTGCCGCAGAGAGACAAATGCGCTATATACCCGAGTCCACTTCCCAACGAGGTACCATGCGTACAGCTTATTAGTGAGCTTTTGTCATGAAGCTCACTGGCCTCTTGTGCAGGACCTCACCTCCCTCCATCCTTCCTCTTTTGTTGAAGGGGAGTTGTCTGAAGCGATTACCCTGACTTGATGGATTTGGATGGACAACGGAGGAGAGTGATGCGTGATGTGCGTCCCGAGGGAAACCAGTCACGTAAGTGTGCTCTCGTCTTTATGCTATTAGGTGGAGACAAAGTGACACTGCAAATTCAGTTGACTTGCTTAGTAGAATACTGAAACAAGGCTTTTTCGCTTTTGTCTATTCAGGCTTGAAGTGAAAGCAATAAGAAAGTGTTTCGGCGTCGGCAAAGGTAGCAAGTTCTCCGTTCTGGCGCTGATTTTGCTCTGCTAATTGTTACCGCTCTCGGCTCACTGCGTGACCAGCTGCAGGAAGATTTGTCAAACGAGCGCAGAGAGGTTATTGGACGATGACTTATCAACAGAAGTGAACACAAGCAGACACGTATTATTTGCATCGCTTTTGCAGAAGTTTGGCCCTTTGGGCACTAACTGCACGTCAGTTAGGACCCCTGCCAGGATCGGGCAGCAGCAACAGGCAGCCGATGGATGCATGCAGCCAGAAGCCAGCAGGCAGCAGCAGCAGCAGCAGCAGCGGTAGCAGCCTTGTGGCCTCATGATATATGTTGCCACTTCAATTATCAAACTGAAAGCAGCAACCGACCAAGCTCGTAGCAGAGAGCAGCAGAGAGGTTGCAGGATCCGTCCGAAAGCAGTGAAACTGATGGGTGGATAATGCGGGAAGAACGAGACGACTTTTTTTGACGAAGGCGGATTCTGCTTTGCCATTTTGGTTCACATGCATTCAAGTGCTGCTTGAATTCGAGGCCCTCTGCTGGCTGGCGACTTTATTGCACTTCGTCGGCTCCGGGAGAGCTCCTTGCAAATTTAAGAACAACACCGACACATACACAGAGGTTATTTTACTTGCCAGCGGCAGCAACTTTGCTCGAGAAGCGCGGCAGTCACTTTACTTTTAAAGTTACTCAAAGAAACTTTCCATAAACTCAGGATATACATCTCCTGAAGTTGGTGGTGGTGGTGGTGGTGCTCTTCTTGGGAGGTCCAGGCAGCTCTCCTTGAGATTCTCCCAAGTCGAAGTGGCTGCTGGAATATGTAGCGGGCGCTGCTCCGTCTGGCTGTGCTTGACGTTGCCATGGTTGCTTTCGCCGCCATTATTAGTGACAAGCATGGCTGAAGAGTGATCAACAGCAAGGCAAGCATTAGCATTGTTATTATTCATCGAGTGGTAATTATCCTTGCTCGCAGGCGTGCCGGGGCGACTTCGTGGGAAATGCGAGTGCTGCTGTGGAGGTGTGGCAGCAGGAGTAGCAGCGGCACTAGCAGTGGTAGCAGGAGCTTCTGAGGTTAAAGGCTTCGGTGCGCCAGATTGACTGCCAGCGATGGTGGTACCACTACCGTACTGCTGAGACTGTTCTGCTGCCAGTTTGGAAAGGCGGACAGAAAGTGGAGAGCTGCAAGCGCTGCTGTTGCCTCTAGCGGCTCTCTCCAGTGCGTCCTGAAGAGCGGCTTGGATCACGCTGCTGCTGCTACTGCCATTTCCAGTCTTTTGAAGTTTGTTACTACCGCCTGGACTGATCATGGGACTTACCATTGGAGAGTTGTGCGAGGCGGATGATATAACCGGGGGGATCTGAACCATGAGACTCGTATCGTGCTCGTGACGTGGCGCATGGAAGGCAAAGTTGTTATTGCTGCTCCCGGTTTGGAGGAGTTCCTGAAAGCTGGTGGACGGACTGTTTGTGGTGGCGACCGTGGTGGCAACCTTAGTGTTCTGGTACTGCATTCTTCTGGCCAGAAGGTTACCTCTCGGAGATGCTGCTACGTCGCCACCTGTCGAACCAGCGGGTCTCTTCATTCCTGCGAATGCCTGACCGGTTCCCGCTGCTACGACGGTATCTCCATCTTGGTCGACAACAGTACCATTTCGAAAGTCGAAAGTGCTGGTGCCGTTTTGGAGTGACAACCTCAGGGAAGCTATGCTGGGATCGTCACTTGCAGCAGGCTGAATCACTGGATCGCATGCGACGCCAAGTCTGAGCCGGAAGTCAGACGAAGCAGCAGGCGTGTGAAAGAAGGCGGCTTGATTGTTCTGCCATCCGGGAGAGGGAAGAGCCGACGCTGGTGCTGCTGCTCCAGTTGGAGACCCGCAGAAGAACCGGTTCCTCATGGGAGCAAACGTCTGGGAGAGAAATCCTCCTCCGGCCTGGTTCTCCAGCGACTCAAATGTGTATCTCATCCGTAGCACGAAGTGGAGGTCCTCGGCAACCTGTGGCTCATGGTACGTTAAAATGCCGTGCAATGGAGAGCTGAGATACTCACGATCTTGCAGGATCCTAGTTGGAGAAGTCCGTGCCCAGCTTGGATCACAGCTATGGTCTGCGAGATGGTATACAAAGTTCTTAGAGCCCGTGAAGAAAGAGAATTCCGGATAGCTACCTGAATGCCAGCCGAGAATTGGTCCATCCATTCGGGTGGATGCTGCGAAGGGGGAGGAGCTTACAATAAACCCGAGAAGAAACGTTTGAAGAGGAGGATTTTACCGAATCGAAGGAGCTTTGCCAGTAGTTGAGCGGGCCGACCTCCGTCTCGGAAGACTCCCGGAACACCCACTTGTGGCATTTGTCTGAGGCAACTTTTCCCATCAATCTGTGCAACAAGATGAGTCCTCACAGCTGGAAGGCGGAGTCTTTTCAAGTACGCACCCTTCTCCATAGTTGTAGAGCTGGATTGACATCTTTCTGAACGCTTTCCTTACAGGGTCCTCCTCCTCCACATCGTCTCCCAGATTGAAGCCGCTGTGAACCCGGTGAATGCTGCCGGCGAGTGGTGGAGTGGTGGTGGTGGTCACCTCGTTCTTGTTGTCAGCGGCTGCGTCGCCGGAGCAGCAGCCTGCTGGACGGCAGTATCCGTCCTCCCACATGAGCATCCTGGAAGACACGAGGTGAGACACGAAGAAAGACCGTAAGGCTTGCAAAGTTCGTTCTTTTCTCTTTTGGTGAGGCTGATATGTGGAAGTGGAACTTACAGGCTCCCTTCGTCCCCGGCTTTGCATCCAAGTCCGCCTCGCAACCTCCTGGAGATGAAAGCCAGATGAATCAGAGCAAGCAACGTAGCAATGCAGTGAAACAACGAGGAGAAGAGAGAGAGAGAGAGAGAGAAGGGGGCTTAAGGCGAGCTGCCTCTTACGGTCGGGGACGGATGGTCCAGAAGACAGAGTAAGTCCAATCTGAGCTGATACACACATTCCGCAGCGCTTCGTGCAGCGCCATGACTGCCATCACTTCCCGGCTCCTCTCCACGACACCCATCGTTAAGTGTATCTCTTCCTTTCCTTCAACTAAAAACTAACGCAGCGCCCTCTTTTCCAGACTCGCACCATGGAGAGCCGAAGAATCTCATAGATTTTCCTGCACGGTAAACTCTCTTCCCGTCCCTCTTTCATCGTGCCGCATTGTGTGTTGTGGGGATTTCAGAGGGAGGGAGAGAGAGCGAGAGATCAGCCATATTTTATGTGTGAGAGTGTTGTGTTCATTGTTGATTCACACACATATCTTTCCCCTTTTACTTCCTAGAGTAGCGAGCGCCCTTCTTCTTCTTCCTCCTCTTGTTTCTCCTTCCACAAAAACAAGTCCGCCTGGTTTCGCTGTTGGATGATCATTGGTATGCTTGTTTTCTAGTCAATTGAGCTGCTGGCTGGCGCGCTGGCCTACTGCTGCGCACATAGTTACAAAGCGGTATTCTTTCATTTCTTTTTGATTCTCCTTGCTTTTTCTTTAACTGAACCTTGCTGTGATCTTGATCTATTCTATATAGGCACTAAAGCGGGCTAGGAGACTAGCAAAGTGCCACACGCACGTCCCTCTCAGCGCTCTCAATGGCTGGAAAATGGCGGCTACGTTGCCAACCAACAATGGCAAGTAAGTTCTCTTCCTTCTCCCTTTGGTTCTTAGAAGTGGGGCTGAACTTCTAAACCTACATTACAGGGGACGCATGCACACGTTCAATCGGTTTTTCTTACTATAAAAGCTTGGGAGCAAACAGTTTGCCGGTATAAATGTTGGATGGGTGGATGCATGGATGAATTGATTGATTTGAGTTTGATGTGGTGTTCCTCGCTTGCTACTTACAATGGCTTGGCTCGAGCATGGTCCATTCATCCAGTTTCCATCCAATCAATCAAATCAAGGTACCCCTCTGCAAGAACGTTATGGGGGTAGAGGACTATCTAGACAAGCATGAAAAAGAATGGGTTTCTCAGATAATCTATGTGCGATGTTCTGTGGTCGATTCGTCCGGGATGAGAGGTACACACAAGCACGCGGGCTCCGGATGGATCTCTCTGCTTTGGGGAGGAAGAACATGAGAGTTGTATACATATGTATGGGATTGAATGAATGCCCTTACGCTCTCTGGATCGGTGCCGTGCAGCAAGCTCAGCAAATGTTACACCACCAACAACAGAAAACAAAAGCAAAAAAAATAAGGAAAAATCGTGAGTCGTATGCGACTGAAAAGAGGAACACGCGCGCAGGAGGGGAGAGAAATCCTCTAGTTTATGCACTGCAGTGCCCGCCGGCCGAGTCTTTCGCTTGAGTAAGTTGGAAGCTCCAAGCACGAGAAACATCGAGGGGAGAGCAAAGCACAAGCATGGTGGGGCGGGGCGGGAGGAAATCATAAAATATTCACTCCAGGGGACGAGTGAGTGACTGAGAGCGAGAGAGAGACAACAACAAAAAGAAAGAACAAAGAAAAGAATCGCAACGGTGGAAGAACACCTCTCGTACGGGCGCGATCAAGAGAAGTTTCTTTATGAAAGCTTCGGCGAATTGCGAGAGTGTTTTGTTCGGTTTTCATTATGGTGGAGAGGAGACTCATGATCCAGATCTGAACGCAGCAGCAGCTGCCAGCCGGGCAGAGACGGAGTTTTGTTTTCGTTTTTTTTGTATCTGTGAGCCTGGAGCTCTTAGAAACTGATTTGGAAGCAAAAAACTAGTTTCTTGGCGTCTCGCTTTCATGCGCGTCTCCGTTCCTGAAGCAACGGCGATTTTACAGATCCATCCCGAACGACTGATCCCAGGGCCAGTGATCAAAAGCAGTAAAAACTAAGCATTTTTCACGTCGATCTTTCACATGGGCTGCTCCTGCAAAAGGAATTGAATAGAAAGCTGGAGAAAAGCGAAAAAAGATCAGAAAAGTCTTTGTTCATCTCTGTGATTTTCGCTGTTCATTGATTATACTGCAGCGTACCTTGAGAATCTGGCAACAGTAGTTTGATGATTCGGTCTCGCTCCATCAGTCAGAATGTAGACAACTCGTGAAGTCCCTCTCATCAGTCGCCAGGAATCCAAAGAAAAGATACAACGAGTAAAACACTAAAGAAAAGCTTAGAACAGCAAAGAAGAAGGAAGAAGAAGATGAAAATTATGGATGGAGTGCTTACGCTTTAATATTCACTCTCCTCCAAGCTGTGCGCGCTGTTGCCACGATGGAAACATCCAAGTTAGGAGGTATGGTGGAAATCTTCTTTACTTTTTTATACTTTCTGGTCATTCCGTGAACGGTGCGGAAACATTGACAAAACGCAACGCAAACTTTGACTGGGGCGATCCTGCGGACGAAACATCATTTCTATGGAGGAAAACAAGGAAAGCCCAACCATTTCTCTGGCGAAACAAGACACAGAATGTACAAACTTGCCCAGCACGAAGTTCACGGGGTTGATTGAATCGCCCTTTCGACATCCAGCCAGCGATCCCTGTTGCTTCTTCTATTCCTGTGACACGGACCAACGAGGAACATTAAGTCCAGAGAAGAAAAGCTTTTCTTTTTTTTTTCTTGGCATGTGTACCGTGCTTGAGTATATCTTACAAAAAGTATGAGATCCAGAAAACTAACTTTTTTGGTTATGAAAGCTGGAAGATATAGATGTCTTGTGTGATCCGGAAAAACCAAAAAGAAAATGTGGATGCTTGGAAATCTTTGATCACTGATGATCCTGTCAGCATCAGCGCTCACCCAGCTGCTCAAATCCACCACCACTTTGCAGGAGCTGCGATCCCTCCACCGCAAAATCGGTGCCGAGCTCTCCACTGACAGGTATGTGAATCACGTCCTCATCGACATGTATGGCAAACTCGGTAGCCTCGACGACGCCGAGTCCGTCTTCCAAGCCATCCCCTCTCGAAACATCTACTCGTGGAACTTCCTCCTCCTGTCATATACCCACAACGGGCATCTCCACAAGGCAAAGGTGGCGCTCGAGGCAATGCCACACAGGAACGCCGTGTCGTGGACCACGGCCATGGCATTCTTCTCTTCCTCCGGAAGCCACCACCTTTCCAAGCTCGTCTTCGACGACATCCCAGAGCGAGACCTCGTCTCGTGGAACGTTTTCCTCAACGGGTATGCCGCCGGCGGGCATACGCAGGGCTCGCTCGATACGTTCCACCGGATGCCTCAGTGGAGCGTCGTGTCATGGACGACGCTCGTCACGTCCTTCTTGCAGAATCCAAGCTCCTACACCGAAGCAAGATCGCTGTTTGATCGAGCTCCAGAGAGAAACTCCGTGCTGTGGAATGCGATGGTGGGAACGTATGCCCAGTCGGGGCATATCGTCGAAGCCAAGGCGCTCTTCGATCGAATGCCGCTGCACGATCTTGTCTCGTGGAACTCGCTGCTTGCGGGATACAAGGAAGAGGGCGATCGCGAGCGAGCAGTGGACTTGTTTCGATCCATGCCGGAGAGGAACGTCATGTCCTGGAACACGATGATCGCGCTGGATCCACTCCAGGGGAAGGAGTTCTTCGCGAGGATGGCGATGTGGAGCCTGGCGTCGTGCTCGGCGATCCTCCAAGCATACGCCGCGCATGGAGAGATGCGCGAGGCCAGGGAGTTCTTCGATGCGATGCCGCAGAGAGACGCCCTGGCGTGGACGTGCTTGCTCTCCGGCTATGCCTGGCTGGGGCACAGCACCGCCGCGAAGAACACGCTGGATCGAATGCCCGCCTGGGACGTCGTCTCGTGCACGGCAATGATCCACGGGCACGTCCTCGCGCTGGATCACGCCGCGGCGAAAGAGATCTTCGATTCCATGCCCGAGAGGAACGCGCTCAGCTGGAACACGCTGCTCCAATCCGCCGCGCAGCACTCCAGCTCCTCCTGTCGATCAATCGCCGGGCGGATGCCCTGCCACAACGCAGTGTCGTGGAGCATCCAGCTCGCGTCACTCGCCCAGCGCGGCGCGATCGATGCGACGAGGCATGAATTCAATTCCTTGGTAGAGGGCGATCCAGTGTCGTGGACTGTGATGATCCAGGGGTATGCCCAAAGCGGGCATCCACAGGTAGCGCTGGATCTCTTTGGGCGGATGTGCGTCGAGGGGATCGAGGCGACGGACGTGACATTCGTGGCGGTGCTCACGGCGTGCGCGCACGCCGGGATGATCGAGCAGGGCTTGGCCATCGCGTCGCGGGCGGAGATCGATTTCGGGGTCAGGATTGGGATCCAGCACTACCACTGCCTGGTCGATCTTCTGGGAAGAGCGCATCACCTGGATCGCGCGGAGGAGCTCGTGGAGACGATGCCCTTTGTGCCGGATGCATATAGCTGGACGACGCTGCTGGCGGCGTGCTCGATCCATGGAAGATCTGGCGATGACGCCGCGAGGAGGGCAGTGGCGTGCGATCCGGGCCATGGAGCTCCATACGTCATCCTCTCCAATTGCTACTCGAGCTCACGAGGAGGAGGAAGAACAGCAAGGAAATCAAGACCGTCGTGATCATCATCACGCGAGGATCATCGATGTGGTCCGGCAGCTCAAATCCTGCGGCGCCGCCAGGGATCTGGCTCGCGGCCAGCAGCTCCACACCCGGATCGCCGCCGATGGGCAGCAGCAGCTCCATCGCCACCATTTCGTCGCGAATGCCCTGGTGGAGATGTATGGCAAGTGTGGCAATCTGGGCGATGCCCGGGACGCGTTTGCTTCCATCCGCTGCCCCAACACCTTCTCCTGGAACATCCTCATTGCCGCGCACATAGAGAATGGGGACACTACCTCCGCTGTTGCCATCTTCAACGCCATGCCCGAGAGGAAGAACGCCATCACCTGGACGATGATGCTGCTGTTGTACGCGCGGAGCGGCGATGTCGAGAAATCATGGGCGATCTTCCTCGCCATTGCGGATCGGAACTGCGGCGCTTGGAACGCAATAATCACCGCATATGCCCAGAACGGGCATTCGGAAGAGTCGTCTCGGGTGTGGGCGAAGATGCCCGAGTGGAATGTTGTCTCGACCACCGCTCTTCTTACTGGATACGGCGCAAGCGGAAATGTCGTTCGTGCTTGGGAGATGTTTGTAAAGATGCCCGGCCGAGATGCTGCGTGCTGGAACGCTATGATCACAGCAAATGCCCAGAATAGGTATGTTGACAATGCAACCATCTTGTTTAACAAGATGCCTCTACACAATGTGGTGACAACCACAATGCTTATCTCTGTTCTCGACGTAGACTCTGCCAAGTCTACATTTGATTCTATGCCGGGGAGGAATTTAATTTCGTGGAACGCTATGCTCACGGCTTATGCCCGCGCCGGGCATGTCCTCGAGGCGTCCAAGATGTTTGAATCGATTCCCGAGCGCGATATTGTGGCCTGGAACTCGATGATTGACGCGTTTTCAGAGAACGGCGAGATAGCAAAAGCGCAGGAGGTCTTTGATCGAATGGCGGCTCGAAATGCCATGTCGTGGACAAGCATCGTGGCTGCATATGCCCGGAAAGGGCATCTGGCGCTGGCTTGGTGCAGATTCGCCGAGATGCCGGTCCGGAACGTTGTGGGGTGGAGCTCGATTATTCAGGCGTCTGCGCACTGCGGACTCTATGATCGTGCGCTTGAGCTGTTCCGTGAGATGGTTCTTGAGGGAGTGAGAGCAAATTCAGTGACCTTTCTGGGAGTTCTCTGTGGGTGTTGCCATGGTGGGAGAATAGCCAAGGCTCAGCAGCATTTTCTCTCAATGATTGGTGACTATGGAGTAGCCCCAATCTACGAGCACTACCGCTGCCTGATTGATGCTCTTGGAAGAGCCAAGCAGCTTGAGCAAGCTGAGGATTTGATGTGGAGTATGCCCTTCTTGCCAGATGTTCATGCCTGGACTAGCTTGCTAAGCGCTTGTAGAGTTCTTGGTGATGTAGAACGAGGAAGTCGCATTGCCAAGAAGATTGTGGAACTCTTTCCTAAAGACCCAGCCTCCTATTTATTAGTTTCTAACATGGTGACCTACAAAACAGATTTATAAAGAAGATGTTTTTTAAAGCATGGGATATCTTTTAAATATATAAAAATGATTTTTATATGATTTTTTTATAAAATGATTTTTATTTTTTTAGCATGGGAAATCATTTTTTTCTGTAAAATAAAGCTATAACAATTCTATTTTACAAGCCATTTTTAACATAAATAGTTTTGCCATGAAATATTTAAAAAACTTTAGGTTAATTTCTTAATTTTTATAAATAAACTTAATACCTTCATATAAAATTAAAACATTATCTTCAAAAAACTATTTAATATTATAAATAGTTTTTTAAACATTAATATACACTTTAATATATTTTAATAACTTAAATAAATATTAAAAATTTATTATTTATCATATACTGTATTTCTATTTTATAGCATTAAGAGTTTTATACTGGTACATATGAAAAGTGTAAATACTTTTTTAATAAAAAAATATTATTGAGCATGCTATATCTCCCAAGAGAGCTAAAGTCGCTGTTCCTACTCATATATTTAAATGAAAGAGCTGGTATAATAACAGAAATTAGTATATATTACGTTTAAATAATAACAAAATAAATAGTATAAATAATTTCATTGAAAATATTTTATATAAATTTTATTTTTTAATTGGCCTTTTTAAATGAATATAAAAACGACATAAATAAGGGTTATTCATTAAATGTAAAGAGAGCATCTCAATGATAAAAATACTAAATATTTAAGAAATATTTATAAATTTTAAGGGCTACTTATAAATAATTACAATTAAATGATACACTATGTTTTTTATTTATGTATTTTTATAGTTTTGTTTTTGTGAAAAAGATAGACTAAAAATACCTAGAGACTTTCATATAAAAATATATATTATTTATTAATAAATAAGTGTTAATATCAGTTTTTATTTTAACTAATATAAAAAACATATATAACCTATACTTCTATCAATCTCTCAAAGTGTTTTAATCCGTTTTATTTACTAAATTTTTAAAAATGATTTTAAAACTTTCTGGTGTAATCTCAGCACAAATAAAAGTATTATATAAAATCAGCACTTAGGTGAGCAAGTGCTATTGCTAGCCAAATGACCATAATAATGAGCCAAAGCACATAACTCAAAGAAATTGAAGCACTTGTGGCCACAGCTACACACAATAGCCACACTTGGGCAACACCATGGCCACAGCCACAGCTGATTACACAACTTCCACAACTTCCACTTGGCCACCAAACCTACTGCTGCTAGCTGGCTAAAAAGAGGAGAACAAAGAGATGCTCACCACCGTACCTTGGTGGTGAATTCCTCGTGTCCAGTATTTCTTCCACAGCTGGCCCGGCGGGAAAAAATTAGGGTCCTTGGTTGACGCCTCTGCTTCTGGAATCCAAGAGTTTTGGCATTTCTCCAGAGTCATTTTACGCACAAATTCACTATTTTACTGTAAGGAGCTGGGCGCTGGGCGAGAAATACTGTTCAATTTTTATTTTTATTTTCACCAGAAGGCCCAGCATTGGATGGGCAATTACTAGTATTCAATAAATCAATTTGTCACAATAACAACTCATGAAAAGCTGCATAAAAACCTTATAATTTAACAAGAAGTACCTCTGAAATTCGAATTTTAGAGAGAAAATCCTCGCGATATATCTCCCTATAAGTCGCAACACATCAAGGCTTCTAAGAAAAGCAAAGGAAAAAATCAGTGTGACACGACAAAGATGAGGAGCCCAGCCTTACCTGCACGGGTAGAAAGAGCTTGAACTCGGGAGGGAGCTCCTCTTCCGAGAAGAGCCTCTCGGAGAAGTAAATCCTCCTCAGCCTGCAATTCGCGTGAACTTGCACCCGCAACGTCTCCACGTAGTTCGTTCCATAGGCACGCCTGGTGAAATCCGCGAGATTGAACTGCACTTGGTTCCAGCCCTCGTCCAGGCGCATTGGCATCGTGCATATGAAAGGCTTCACACGCGTGCTCGTCTGCAAGAGAGCTCAAATCTCGAGCGATCTCGTGAGTAGCGTGTAGAGAGAGTACCTGGAAATTCGACGCCCGGAAGCGACGCCTTACGTTCTTGTCGTCGAGGACTTGGACCTCGAAGCTGAAGTATTTCTTGAGGTTCTTGATGATCATCACTAGAAATGGCAGCTTGATGCCCAGCGTCATCGCTGGATCCGAGGGGCAGGAGATGAAATTGGTGCTGACGTTGGTTCCCATGATCTCCAGCACGATGGACTGGATGTCATCGTCCGTGATCCTCTTGATATGTCCATTCGACACTGGAGAATGGAAAACAAAAATGCAAAGGGAAAGAGTTGATATTCTCCATAGCTCGCGCTCTTGAGAACTTTACCATCTTTCTCCCAAATCTGAAGAGGTTTGCTCCTGCCAGAGAAGATCAAAGCTTTAGAATTTTGGTTCTGAGCTGGAGAGCTTACCCGATGCTGTAGAAGATTGACAAGAAGCCCGACTGGAAGGTGTTCCTAAACATCTTCCCTACAGGTGACCCTCCCTCCGGACGAGAATTTGATTGTACTCCGGGCGAGAAGTCTATACGAGCCAACGAGAATTTAGTTGAGCTGCCCGCTCGATCAATCAACCCTAAATTTCCTGAGCTCCCTACCAGATCCTTGACGAGCAGGAAAACGATGACAAAGAAGAGCACAAACAGGATCTCAAACTCGGCCAGCCGCACGAACGCGAAGATCGAGCTCACTGCCCTAGTGAGCAGCGATGGAGACGCTCCAGCCTGATGGCGCATTGAACTGGAGAACCGGCGGCGATCCACTCGCGCTCGCAGCTCCCGCGGAGCCCTAGCAAATTCCTTCCAATGGTCGCGAACCTCAAGCGCAAAGATCACTACAGCCAAATGCGAGAAAAGAAATCCCCCCGTCTCCAGCGCCATGTCATTACGCCAGCAGTGACGTGGAAAACCATCTCCAAATTACGTGGCTTTTGTGACGTGGTACCGTACTGGTACGCCAGCCGTACGGTGACGGTTTGGGAAGCCGACGGTTGCGATCGGCCGAGAGGATCGCCGTCCCTTCCTTTCCCGCCCCTACTTTGACACAAAACCATTAGTTTGGGGCGGAGGGGCGTTTTCTTGCGCGCTCTAGCTCGATCTTATAGGTCTTTCCATCTCCTCTGGAGGATCATCGATCGATACTCACCGCTTTTGGTATTTGCAGGATGTCTTACCAGCGGATGCATTCGGATCTATCCGGCGACAAGGCGCCAATAGCTTCGATGCGCAGGATCCAGTCCGATATCTCCTCCGCGCAACCAGAGGTACATTCATGGGGTATTGGACAGGCGCCGCCGCAGCAACAGGCCTACCAGCAGCAGCAAACGCTGCCTAGCCAGATACAAATCCAACCTAGTCAGCAGCAGCAGCAGCAGCCACCGGCGATGGATCAAAAGGTCGCGACGGTGGCGGGCGGGACGGCTCCAGTCCCGAGTTTGCTCCACAGGGAGCGCTCCGTTCATCAGATTCTTGGAGGCGGCAAATGTAAGTTCCTTCTATTTTGTCTTGTGGGTCTATCTGGTTTTTCTAGAGAGCTACACATAGATGTTCTTCATGTTGTGTTGGACAGAGAGCTTAAAAGAAGTCGAGAGTTGCAAGTGTGATCGAAAGCTCGACCTTTGCGCAGTGCGTTAAGTCGTCGAGCGTTTATAGATATGCTTTTATTTCGTTTCATGGTAGTCATTCTCACGTTTTTTTTCACTCTTTGTTTTGGCAGTCGCTGACGTAATGCTCTGGAAGCAGAAGCGCAAGTCCATTGGCATTCTGGGAGGCTCCACCTTGGTGTGGTTCGTCTTTGAGTGGTCTGGCTACACGCTCATCTCGCTCGTCGCCAACATCGTTCTTTTCCTTTTGATCGCGCTCTTTGCGTGGGCGAATCTAGCTGCGCTCGTCAACAGGTATTCTTTGTGCTTAGCTTTATAACTCGATTTTTTTCTTGTTGTGGATTGCAGGCCTCTTCCTCCTGTTCCCGAGGTCCAGCTCTCAGACGAGAAATCTAACAAGATTGCCAAGCGCGTGGCCAAGGAAGTAAATGGCGTTCTTAACTACGCACGCTCTTTGTCCACGGGAAAAGATTTCCCAATGCTTCTCAAGGTGATCGTCCGCCCTGTTTCAGAAACGAAAACTAAAGCTATTCTTGCAGACTTGTCTCATGTTGTGGGTTCTCGGCAACGTTGGACAATGGTTCAGCTTGCTCACGCTCATCTATCTCGGTAAAGATCGACCAAACTTCCACAGTGCCTTGGTAGTGATTCTCCGTTTCCTTTCCAGGTGTTATTGGAACTCTCACGCTGCCATTAGCCTATGAAAGACACGAGGACCAGATTGATCAGTTCATCCAGAAGATCGTCCAGAAAGCGAGGAACCAGTATCACAAGCTGGACGAGTGCTGCCTTAGCAAACTTCCCCAGTGTTGCAAAAACTAGAGATTCACACTTTTAATTTAAAACGCGCCAGAAGTTCTAACGCATTTCATGCGCTTTTGAGAATATGCTGTAACCGTTATGCCTTTGCTAGGGTTTGTGGAAGGAGACGTGGCCATGTCTGCTGGCGTTCCCTGTCTCTGGGCGCTGGATTGACTCCATCGCCCTGCCGCAAGGGCGCCGGATCGGTGCCACCACTAATCCCTGGCAGCGCGCTCGGATCTGGGGGGCAAAATGTCTGTAGATAGCATGGTTCTTGAGGAGGAACTGGATAGCAGCTACGAGGCCACTGATGAAGGTGCGTTTCCCTTGCGCGCGAGATGATAGCTCGGAATAGCTGAGACAGATGGTTTCTCCTGTGTAATCGTGTAGAGGTTGCCGAGTATGCAATGTGGCTGGGATTTGATTTGCCTCATGAGAAGCAGCTGCTGTGGATAGCTAGAGAGGGATTAAAAGCGGAGTTACCAGCACAATGGAAACCATGGTATGTGCTCCTTTTCTTTTTTTTTTTGTTTTTTCCTTTTTGTTTCCATCGATTGAGTTGGCTGCTATTGTAGTCGGACAGAAGAGGACGAGATCTATTATTTTAACTTCGATACTGGGGAGAGCACTTGGGATCATCCGTGCGATGATTTCTACAGGTATGCTTTTTTTTCTTCTTCTTTTGCTTCAATATCTGTTTCTTTGTAGGAAACTGTATAAAGAAGAAGCTCTTAAGCTGAGCAATCAACGGAAGATACAGCAGCTACAAGCGTCTTCTCGGGCAGAACAGGTAACTTTGGCTTCTTTTTTTTTTCTATATTCTGGTTGTTTGTTTTTTTGTTTTGTTTTGTTTTGTTGTTTGAATTCTAGGTACGACTTAATGCTGCCAACAAAGTGGGAAATGGTAAGCAAAGTAGCCAGATTGAGTGTTGTAAATCATTTTATGGTTTTCTTCGTTGCAGGCGCAGTGGCAGGAGACGATTCCAACAAAAATACTTTTCACGTCTCCGAATGCAAGGATGTAAGTAATATCGTTTCTGTCAGCTTTATCAAATGGCTTTGTTTGTACAGCTTGTTCCAGTAACCAATATTGTTGAGGAAAAACCTGGGAGGCTGGTCGTGAGGTGGAAATCTGCCTTAAGTGATGTAACTGACCGTGACCAGAAAAGAGCTCAGCTGAAGGAGAAAATGAAGCTAAAGATCGACGACGGTGAACCACTAGACAAAGGGAATGCGAGCCCCACCCAGATCCCGGTTATAGAACTTACTCCCGTCAGCAGTGAGCACAAGAATCCGACGCAGAGGAGCTTGCAGCAAGGACAGGACTATCAGAATCAACGACAGGAGATGATCGAACAAGTCGAAAGGCGGATAGAGATTGAAAAGAAGCTTTTGCACGAGAGGGATGCGAAACAACTCGAACGGGAGCTTGATCGTGAGCGGCAGTTTCTAGATATCCAGGAAATGCAGCGCAAACGGGCGACGGAAGCCAAAAGACAGCTAGATACGGAGGCATATCGGAAAAAGGAGGAGGAGCTGATATCTCGAAAACAAAAGCGGGTGGAAGAATTCAAGTCAATGGTGAGCGAGGAGCTAGATTCTTTTGAAAAATCACGCAGAGAAAGGTTACAAGAATATCGGGAGAACTTGCTCGACAAGGAGATCCAAATGATGCAGTTGGAGAGAGACGAAATGAGCCGTCGAGTTTCTAAAGCCGTGGAAGGTTACGAGGGCGTCGTAACACAAGAGCTGAGGACTAAGATGCTTGAGAGAGCCAAGCAAGATGTAGCGGAGACGGAAGAGGCCAGTTTTGCATCGGAGTTCCAAGCAGTGATCGAAAGAGTTGGGAAGAGCGTCCAGCTAGAAGCGGAAAAGCTGCAAAAGGAGCTCCAGCAACAAACTGAGGCTGAGATGGCGGGCCTGAAGCGCTCACTCCTGAAGCACAAGCGAGAAGAAATGCTCCTACAAGTGGAGACAGTGGACGCCGAGCTGAGAGCGGAGATGGAAAGGATGGAAACCATCATCAGGGAAGCTTACGAGAGAAAAAGCGTTAGAACAGAGAATGGTGGCGACAGGTCCCGCACTCCCGACGACATAGAAAGCGTGAACCACTTCCAGGCCAACGGTGCTTTTACGAATGCCTTGCAAAAAGCCGCATGCGAAGTGCTCCTCAACATGGTGGTGAAGGGCAGAGCAGACCACAAGGAAGAGAAGTGCTGCGAAGAAAAGTTTAGCGAGATAAAGCATTGGATGGATGGCTTCGAGAAGAAGATGAGGACGCTAATGGTGACGATAGAGGACACAAGGGACTCTTTTGCCGGCTACAGGACACACTCAGATCGGCGACGACGGAGTAGCTGTGCTTGCGACGCCAACGTCCTTATGTGCGAAGCCTTTCAACCTTTCTGTCACGGATCCGGGGTTATCGACGCTGCAGGGTGCTCAAACTCGCATGCCAGAAGCTCCAACGTAAACATTTCCCTGAAGCCGAAACGACCATCGCCAACTTGTAGCTGCGAGTATTATGGCGGACCTGGAGTTTACAGCAAGCCGAGGAACACAGTGGAGCACTGGAAGGTGGACGTTGAGACGGACAGTGACGCTGGTCGAGTGAGCGATCGGGCTCATAGCTCCAGGATGGGAAGGCATAAGAGAGAGAAGGCGCTTAAGTGCAAGAAGAAGGTAAAGCATTCGCTTCAAACTCGTGCTGCTGTAGCTGGAAAACGTTGTACAGGTGAGGATCCGGGGGTGCAACAAAAGAGTGGGGAAAGAGCGAACTTTGGCAACTTAGGTGCTCCTGCGATCTACGATGAGCAAGACACGGCCAGCAACCTTGACGACGAGCCGGGTGGCTTGAGTCTAAGCAACAGCGCATGTAGCAGCAGTGGCTCCGGAGAAGGAGAAGTGAAAAAGCGCGGCAGGCTCAACCGGCTTCGCAAGGGACTGTTCGTCGTCAAGGGAAAGTTTCTCAAGTGGTCAGCCGCGAGGGCTTCTGCAAACGCCACCGGCACTAGCACCGCCACCACCACTAGAGCGGTGCGGGGAGTCCGAAAGGCTGATATCGCGAAGCTCCAGCTAGAGTGTCGGAAGAAGCTGAGGCAGCTACCAATCGGTTTGAGGTGGAAAGTCGCCAAGCTTGTCAGGCGGTCGCCTCGCTCCAATGGTTTCTACGCATCGGCAGACGAGTGGCCAAATCTCGAGTCTGAATCATCGCCAGACTTTCTCAATGACATCCCACCTGTGAGTTTTTCTTTTTTCCTTTCGTTTTTCTAAGCCTTTTCTTCGGCCTCCATCTGATTTCGTAAGCAGGTCTGATGGAACCTCAAGCAAGGAACCGGCTGGAAAGGCGGACATCTTGCGTGAGGTCTGCCTTTTGTTTTCCTGAAAGAGGATGGCATTTGTTCCGAGAGAGCTTTGGATTCTTATCTCATGCACCAACCTTCCTGGCAGTGATGGCACGACGCAAACCAACCTTGCGAAGTCAATAAGAGAGCTCTCGCTTCCAATTGCTATCCTGGATGGAGAAGGAAAGGGAAACGAGAAAAAGAAAGAAAGGCGATGGCCAACGTCAACAAGCAAGCATCTCAGTTGCGTATGCAGAAGAAAAAAGTGTTGTCAACATCGCATACTGTAACACTCCTGTCTGTGCGGGTGATCAGGTAACAGTGTCACTTCCTACTTTTGCTTCCATGTTTTCTCCGCTTTTTTTCCTTCCGACTTTTCTTATGCTAACCCGATCTCTCTGCTGGGCTCTGAACTGATTGCTTGTCTCCTGCAGCAGGAATCCACAGTGGGAGATCCGCCGCGTAAGCGCGAGTGATGTCACACACCTCTTCCCGATCGATCGTGCGATGTTTCTGGCCGGCAAAAAACGAAAGGCGGTGGTGGTGCTCGCTCGCACTAAAAACTCAAAAGAGTAGGGAGACAGTCCAGATGCGCTGCAACATGCTCTGGTGGTCGAGCTCGTTCGTCTCCAAGCTCTTCCTACGGATCTTTCGTCACTACAGAGATTACATTACAGATATCAAGCAGCAGCAGTAGCAGCACCAGAGATTCTTTCGGGTTTGGACAAGTCCAGCAGCCATAGCTTTTAAGCCAAGCAAGACAGGTGGGGGAGAAAGAAAGAAAAAAAAAAACAGCACGGCGTAGAGTATGGAGCAGTACTGTATAAAGTGAACAAGGCAGATCACTTGTTGGCAGCGGTCAGTTGGTCCTCGGCTGCCCGTGGAGCTGGCAATGCAACGGAAAAGGAAAGAAAAAAGAAAAAACACAAAAACAAAAACGCAACAGCAGATCAGACGAGGAACCAAACAAAGTTGACAAAACGTGAGAGATCTTCGGTTGCTCACCTAGACCAATGGCTTCGGAACCTTTCATGATCCTCAGGCGCTTGACGGCCCCCACAAACATCCTGATCGAGAAGAAGAAAGGAGCAAAACTTAAAAAAAACGAAGGTGGCGATCGACAACACTTACTCCCAAGGAACATCGCCGACGAGCATGAGATCGCCGTCCTTGTCTTCGTACGTGAGCACGTAGTCGGAGCCATAGATGAAGTTAAACTTCTTGGTGTCGCTCACGAGCTTGTCCTTGGCCACGGCCTTGCCGGCTCCGGATTGTCCTGCCAAGATCACAAGTAAGCGCTCTCTATCTCCGGATCATCGCTACGTTACCGCTGATGAATCGTCTAAACATCTCCTCCAGGGCGCCGGACAGCCGCTCGTAGCTGCTGTGAGTCCGCAAGCTCACCTTCCTCCCGATTGGAACTCCATCCATGTACACCTTGACGAGCTGCGATCCCGCTGCCTGGTGCTGGGACGAAGTTCCAGGGGTGGCGGCGGCGGCGGCAGCGGCGGCTGGGCTGGAGGGATTGGACAGAGAGTCCACCGGTTTGGCGTGATGAACAGTGGGAGCCGCGAGTGAATTCTTCCGGAATGATTGGACTGGGGGCCATCCCACTGGAGCCCTGTCGTCACGAGAAAGAGCTAATGAGATCGATCCAACCAAAATCCAATTCGCGGCGCTGCGACTCACCTGGACTGGCTCGCGTCCTCCACGACGTGCTTCTCCACGCACTCGTGAAGATCCGGGGGCTTGAGGTGGCACGACGAGGACGAGGACGAGGATCGCTGCTGCTGCTGCTGCTGCTGCTGCTGCTGCGGATGCCAGGCCTGGGCATCTGGTGTCACGCTTGGGCCAAATCGAGCAGGCTGCTGTGGCTGCGCGGGCTTGGATTTGGCGCTCGACCCATTTGCCCCTTTGTCCTCCTTGTCCCCGTGATGCTGCTCGCTGCCGTTCTTGCGGAACCCATTGGAGCGCTGCTGCTGCAGCTCTAGCTCGTCTTCCTGTGGAGATCCGGGCAGCCCCAGCTGGAGCTCCGTCCTTCGCATGTTGAGACCACCCGCGCTTACCTTGATGCTACTGCTGCTCTTGCCGGCCAGGGGATTCGGCTGCTGCTGCTCGGCCAGGCCAATGTAATCGTGCTCCTTGGCAGCTTGGCTCCCTGTTGCCTCTGCTTCCAGTGTCATGGATCGATCAATGGAGCTTCCTCTCCTGCTTGCTCCCTTGTTCTTGGAGGAAGACTACTCGCCCATCACCATCGCCTCAATCTGGCACACGCGCAGGCTTTAGATCTCAAGCTCACACAGGCTAGAGAGAAGAGAGAAGCCGAGAGCGAGAGAGAGAGAGAGAGGGTGAGAGAGCTCTAGGGAGGAGAAGAGATGTTCACATACCATCCCACCTTTAGCCTATGGTAATCTCTTTCTTTCACAGAAAGAGAGCTTGCTTCTTCTCCTCCTCTTTGTTCTTGTGTGTGTAGTAGCAGCAGAAGAGTCACTATTCACTTTTGGTGTGGCATTTTGTTGGGTGCCATGGCTGCTGGCTTCCCTTCCTATCCTCTTCCTCCTATCATCAAGCAACAAATCAAAGGCCGTTTCTCTCATTTACATTATGCGCTCCAAAGATTGTACAACCACACCACCTAAAAAAGCATTGGATCATTTCTTAAAACCGGCGCCCCTCTCTAGGCCCCCTGTTGCTTTGTTTGCTTGCTTGCCAAAAGGAAAAAAAAAAAAAAATTCACCGCCACAACATCATCAAAATTATAAGCATTTTTTTGTTTTTTTTCTCGCCTTTTTTCTCGCTTGCCTGGGTTGTCAGCCCAGCATATCATCTCCCAGAAGATATCATCAGCACCAAAACAATTAAACCCCACAGACAGAGGGACGACAGGCCACTAAGACGCGGACGGACCATCTAACGCTTTCGGTCAATCGGACGGATCCGGTCAAACGTGGGGGCTGTTTAGCTGACGGAGGTGAAATAAAATTTTGTCAACTGTTTCAACCCCCTGGTAAAACGACAAGGCACAGACAGGAGTGAAATTTAATGGCGCAATTGCCGTACCCCCCCTCTCCCCAGTGCATGTTGGGGTGAGGTCGTGGTGACGGTCGTGCCGTACGACAAATTCCTTCCCTTCTTTACTATGACGGTCTTCTTTAGCGTTTAACCGGACCTTAGCTTTTAGGTGGCGATCTGATTTTGATTGATCTATATAGTTTTTGCTGCAACCACAGTGGAGCGGAATGGAACGAGAAGGAATCCTCCCGACATTGAGGACAAAATAATACGATTCCGGGGAATAAAGAAGGGGTTTGCTGCAGCGATCTTGTTACGCCAGTGGCCAACCGTAAGGCTGTGCCATGTTTTTATCACCACATTCTTGCAAAATAAAAAGGCGTGGGTGTGTGTTATGCTTTTTCTTCTCACTAGTTGCAATTCTAAATTTTATTTGTATTTTAGTTTTCGCTTTCACAGCATTTGTCTGCCTTTGGGCTCTCAAAGACCGGGCAACTTGGCGCGGTTATCTCTTTTTTCTCTCTCTCTGCAAGTTTTTTAAAATATGTCTGTCTGTATATGTAAGAAAATAAAGCTCTGGTTTTTTAATGGATATCTGCGTATGTATAATAAAATAATTTCAGAAGCACACCAGCGTACCTTCTCGTTGGGACGAAATAGTAAGGAAGTTAGCTGCAACAACACTCTCGGAGAATTATCTCGTCTTGAATGAATCTGGCATTAGCAGCAGTCGATAGCGACGAAGAAAAATAATAACCAAAAAACAAAAAAAAACTCAGGGAAATAGCCCGTGCTTCTCCACTGCTCAAAAGTAATCAATTCATTCATGCGATGGTAGAGAGCCGGCGTAAGAAGAACGCAACGCAAACAAGAAAGAAAGCAGGAACTAAAAGAGATTTCACGGCACAGAGAAATATGCAAACCCGGAGCGAGTGGATCGAGAAAGCTTTGCATCGATTCAGTCAGAGGGACGGACGAAAGCATCCAAATCAAGCTTCGCTCAGTTTCCTGTAACGGAAGCCTATTATTCTTATTCAACGAGGCTGAGGACGGCACAGCCAAATAAAATTCCACTTACACAAGACATGTACCTCACAGCTCGAGCATCTAGCTCGTTGTGCTGGTTCTACAAAAATGGAGGAAAGTGGCTAGTTGGCTGCTGAGTTCAGTTGTGTGTCCTCTGTAAGTTCATCAAGTGAGTCAAACGAGGATGGAAAGGAAAAAAAAAGAAAACGAAAAGCAGGCGCTCTGGAATGACGTGACAGAGAGATAAGCGAGAGTGATGCAGCGAGCCATCAGTAAACAAGAACTAGTTATCAGAGACAAGAGACTCTGAGAGCTGGGATTAGATGATTGTCATCACTGGCTGCTGCCACAAAATCGAGAGAGAGAAAAGAGGAGAAAAGAAAAAGCAAACAAGAAACTAAACTCTGGCATGGAGGACTACTTCAAACCTTTGTAGACTTCGGGGAGCTGGAGGCCGACTCTATGAGCAGTGTCTTTCAATCGCTCCTTCTCCTCTTCCGATCGGTCCACAGCTATGTTGTAAGACAAAAGAAGATCCTGCAATCAAGAAAGAAAGAAAAAAGAAAGAAAAGAACACGAGTAAATGATAGAACGCAGAAACGTTCTCTGGCGATAGTGCTAGAGATTTAGCTTGGAAGAGGGCGAGCTTACGCTGTGATGGTGGACGCTGGCGACCAACGAGGCATAATCCTTGGCGAGCCGGAGCTTATCGTAGGCATCGGCGGGGGAGAGCGCCGCATTCTTCCGGAACTCTTCCGCCACGAATTCCTTGAAATGCGCTTCGCTACTTACATGCTTCTTCACGACCCGGAGGAGATGCCTGTAGGTCGATCGCACCGCCATCGCCATTTGCTGGTGACCTAACCCTAAATCCAAGAAAATGGCAAAGAAAATAGTAGAGATAGAAAGGGGTCTCCGCCAAAATCATTCGGCCAGGAGCCCGCATTTTGGATTGGCCATCGCGGTAAGCTGCCCGATCGCTCGCTGCTCCCCTCGACTGGCTGCCGATTGATGCAAAGATCGCTGGTGCTGCGACGGGAGATCGCAAACGGGCATGGCGGGCGTGCGGTGGAGGAGGATGGAGTGAGCATGGATTCGCCACGCAAAGGCAGCGGCGGCGGTGTGTGTGAGATGGCTCCTCTAGCGGGATATAGGAAATGGGGACTTTTGGGCAGTTTCTTAGTCACAGCAGTGGTGCTAGTGGTTTTCCTGTGCCACACCGAGTCCCGGCGCGAGCAGGAGATCTTCCAAGACGCGGAGGTTTTGGAAGAGCAGAGGAAGAACAGGATGGCAGCGGTGGAGGAGAAGTTCGCGTTCCATGACACTGTCGACGCGTTTCGAAGATGGGACGAGAGCGTGGGGTGCTCTCGGTTCCGGCAGAGCTTCCGCAACTTGACCGGGGATTTTGTTCCTCGCCCGCCTTGCTTCCAAGACCCGGAGATCAAGTGTAGCAAGCTCCGGAAGAAGCACGTCGGGATCCACGTAAAGTCGTGGACGTGGATCCCGGACAACTTGGAAAACTTGTACTCTTGCGGCTGTGGATTGAGCTGCCTGTGGACGAAGTCTCCCGTGCTGGCCGACAAGCCGGATGCGCTCTTCTACGAGTGGAACAAGCCTCCCGTGGAGGTAGGTGCTGGATTGTTTGTGCAAGTCCTCTAAAGTTTCTTCTTTTTTCCTTGCTTTTCGATTCCACAGAGAAAACCGGGAGACCCTCTACGCATCTACATCGATATCGAGCCCCAGAAGCAGCGAGCCCCCGCTCAGGACATTTTTGTGAGCTACCACCATAGCTCGGACGTGCAAGCGACGTACGCTGGCGCGTTGTTTCACAACTCGAGAAATTACTACATATCTCCAACCAAAAACAAGGTACATAGCCGTTTTGTTTCTCTCTAGGCTCTTGTTCCTCACGGTGTTCTCGTTTAACAGGAAGTTCTCGTTTACTGGTCCTCGTCGAGGTGCCTTCCCGAGAGGCAAGAGACCGCGAGCAAATTCCTGGCACTCGTGAACCACCACTCGTTTGGGAAATGCCTCAACAACGTCGGGGAGAGAGACGCGGCTCTGGAAATGTATCCGGAGTGTAGGCAGGAAGGGCAGGACCAGCAATGGAACCAACATCTGCACTGCGCGATGTCGCACTACAAGTTCGCCTTGGCGATCGAGAACACGAGAACCGAAAGCTACGTCACGGAGAAGCTCTTCTACGCCCTTGACGCCGGGACGATCCCCATATACTTTGGAGCTCCCAACGTCATGGACTTCGTGCCTCCCAAGTCGATCATCCTGGCCAGCGAGTTTAGCAGCATGGAGAGTCTGGCCGAGTTCGTCAAGGGACTGGCTCAAGATCCAGTCCGGTATGCCGAGTACCACGCTTGGAGACGGTGCGGAGTGACTGGGAATTACTACTGGGCCAGAGCGCTCAGTCTTGATTCTCTTCCTTGCAGGCTGTGTGCTTGGATAAGCAGGAACTAGACTGAAACAATCATTTTTGTGTCTGCTCAGCACAAGATCGGTTTGTATCATGAATCTTCTTTGTCGGTTGACATACTGGATATTAAGAGATACACAACTATAATTGGCAATGCGAACTCCACTTCATCTGAACACTGAGATCTCTTTTAGTTGGGAGTGTTGATGGTTCTAAGATTCTATTATTGGTAAAAAAAAAATTCCTATAATAACCAGGCATAACTATTTAATCATAATTGTAAGTAAGATTTATTTATCCATTAACTTCTCCTAAACTTCAGATTATAAGAAAAAACTGAAGTACTCTTGAAACAATCAAGAAATTAAAAGTAAAATATATTCTCATTCACATATTGCTTCCGAAGTAGTGTATGTGTTTTGTGATTGAGGGTTCAGAGATGCTGTGGCTTTTATAAGCAAAATATGATATAATACCAGCCTTCGGCCAGATGCCATATTGATACCTATATGACACATAATATTCACTGTCTCAGGGAGTTAATAAAAGAAATGCTTTTGCTCGAGGCACAGACTGATGGGTCCCATTGAAATGATAGGTTGTTCAACCATTGATAAGTAAATGCTTAAATCTCCCATAGGTCACGAAAATTCACCAAGAAATGTTTTAACCTTACCATCCTAGAATATGCCTGATTATATCATTGGATGGTTTGTGAATAGCTAAACTACAAAATTGATTTAAATATTGTAGCTATATAAAAAAGTATTTTAAGCATATTCTAAGCTGTTTTAAAACAATTGCTTTCCATCAATGTATCTTACATGTTTTGAATCCTCACTCAATCAAAGTGTTATTATCTTATACTTTTATTGTGTTAAATTAAGTATTTTCTCAACGAAAAGAAATAGAATAATTTTACTCTTAGAATTTTATTAGAACTAAACCTTTATAAAAATAAATCTCTAAACATGGATATGGTGCGAAGTTGTAATACATAACAAACTTGCTCCTAGTGCAAATGGTAAGCCACCCGGAGAGACGGTCAACTTAAACTTCCTTTGCTGGAAGACGTTATGTGGCACAATCACTTCCTCTCGCGACAAGCCTCTTGCGACAAGCCTGCATGGTCGCAAAGCAAAAGCTATTGAGAAAACATGAAAGTTTCCAGGGACATACCTGGAACTTCGACACAAAAGATGTGGTGATGCTTGCAATAGCTGCCTTGAGACGTTTGCTCGTGGCTGCAGCAAAGAACGAAATGGAATTAGTAGAGGTAAAAACAAATAACACAATATACTCGTGTCCAGCTCGCGAGTGTCCGTTGCACTCTTGGGAACGCGAATGTTAAGCAAGCCGTTCCAGAAAGACGCTCTCGCCTGCTTCACGTCAGCACTGGAGGGAAGCTTAAACTTTGTTTGCTGGAAGACGTTGGCAGTGGTCTTAACGACGAGTTCCGGCCCTGTATTGTCCACAATCACTTCCTCTCGCGACACGCCTGCACAGAAAGCTATTGAGAAAACGTGAAAGTTTTCAGGGACATACCTGGAGCTTCGACACGAAGAATGTGGTGATGCTTGTCATCTACAATAGCTGCCTGGAGACGTTTGCTCGTGGCTGCAGCAGAAAAGGAAAAGAAATTAGTAGAGGTAAAAGAAAAAAAAACAAAATACTCGTGTCCAGCTCGGCCTCGTCACGGTCCTCAATTGGCACTGTCGAGGTTGTCCCTTCGAGCGCAGCGGCCCCCTTGGGAAGGCGAATGGTGAGAATCTCATCCTGCAGATTAGCTATTAAACCGTCGACGTTGGCGTAAGGAGGAACAACAAGCTTCTCGGGGCGGTAAACGTCCATCTCCGTGGAAACAAGTACACCCCGTCCATGTTTTTCAACATGCACTTGATCCAGCGACGAGAGACCTGTACAGTAGTACGCAAGAGAAAAAAAAAACATGAGATAACGTCGTCTGCAGTTGACTTACCCGGCACTTGCACATCGACAGTGTAGAAATGCTGGTTCTCGAAGGACGACCACAATAGCTTGCGCTCGTCATATCCTGCACGCCAGAGAGAAAAAGAAATAAAAAACTCCAGGCAGGATCAAAGCCATACCTTTATCAATGTGCTTGAGGCAGTTTAGCAACAGCTGGTAAGCATGTTTCTTCTCAAAGTTGTAGAGAGCAACTAGACCGCCGTGATCAGGGAACTGCGGCAGCCCCCCGGCATCAGCCACCTCCTGCGCCAACTCGAGGCTCCTGGCACACTTCGTCAAGGAAGCGTTGGAGAAGAAATCAGTGCATGGAACGACTGGTGTAGCATATGAGCTAGATTGCTCCTCGATCAGAATGGTGAGGTTGCTGGAGTGCAGACCTAAGAACCTGGTCCAGCACTTAGCGCCAAACAGACGCGCCTGCTCCTGCAACTCGTGCACGTTTGGCTCCCCGGAGAAGACTTCCTTCTCGGCTCGGCAGGCAAGAGTCCGGCAAAAGTCGTGGACGAGGCGTGTTTCTTCACGTGTGCAGTAATGTAAGGGGGGCTCTCCACGCGAGTCCCGCTTTGCATCCTCCCAGACGTCGTCCACGAGCTTGATCATGTGTGTATATGGGACGGGGTAGTCGCCTATGTCGTCAAACCCGAGTGGTTTTTCAAGACGGGGGAATTGGCCGCCCACAATTTCGGTGTACTTGAGGCTGTGATGCAGGAGATACCCCTCGAAGCAGTCGGTGGTAATATCAGAGTTGCCCAGCACCTTAAAGGCTTGGCCGAGGACACGGTTGTCTAGGCGGAGCATCACCATCCACAGAAACTCTCCAAACTCTTTGTAGGCTTCCTGGGTGGGTGGTTTGCTCACCTGAGAGACATTCCTGCATTCGCTGCGGATGCTCGCGCTTGCTGTGAGGATGCCGCTCCTACTCCTAGTCGCGCTTTTCAGCCGCATCAACATTTTCAAGGGTTTGGCGTTCTTTGCTGGGTTTTGGGTTTTAGTATGGGCGCGGCTGCTGCCTGGGCATAATCTGGAGGATGAATGGTTCGTGGTTTACTTGCTCTACGAGACGTGTATATCATGGGTGGCTGATGACGGGGAGTTTTTGCTCAGATACCAAGATGGTTGAAACCAGAGAACATCCGGAACAGGGTGTGTCCGCCGCTCACCTCCCCGCCTGGCGGTGGAGTCTTTTTACTCGCGAGGAGAGTGGGGCCTGCGGTTTCGAGATGATGTATTGGGAACGCTCCAATTGACAGGTTCGAAAGGGCCTGGAGGCTGGAGGTTAAACAATCTCTTAAAGAACACCGCCCGCTTTTGGACGCTACCGAGAGACTGAAACGTTTTGGCGAAGATTGACGTGAAATTATTCGTTTTCTCTCCTCTCAGTTTGCAAGTCTTCATTCTTTTTTATTTTGAAAACTGAGACGACAAAGATGAAGACCTTTCGAAACGCTCTCTGAAAAACTCGAGCGCCTCCAAAACATTCGCTGGGTCAGCATCTGCTACTGCTACCGGAGACGAATACTTGCCCGTGGACGTGGACATGAACCTGCTTAAGAACTTGCTCGACTCGTACTCATCGCAGCAGGACCAGTCTGGGAATGATGGGAATGGACGACAAGGAGGAGCATAACGTATGACGCGGAGGAAGTGACGTGACGAACCGCGTCGAGTTGGGCGAGAATGGAGAAATTTACCAAAGAGAACATGTACTTTGACACTTTGTTGCCGCGTAACTTTGTTTACCAATAAACAAATAAAGCTTTTCACATTTTTTTCTTTTTGTGGAATCACCCTTTTCACTAAGCAGCTAGGGTTTAGGTAGGGTTTGTGCCGACGACGGCGATGCTTTGATCCAGCTCCACCGCCTCCGCGACGATTGCCTAGCTGTAGCGTCGCCGCTTGTCCGTGGATACATCTGGCAGCACGCGCAATTCGATTTGCAGATAGCGCTCCATCGCACAGGGAGCCGGCATTTTCCGGTGAGGAGGAGCCGGCGGCTCGTTGCGATCCCGGGCTGCCGCTTGTCTATGGAAGAACGAGGTATGGGCATAATCTGGAGGATGAGTGGTTCGTGGTTTACTTGCTCTACGAGATTTCTTGGAGGATTCCGGGGGTGTATATCAGGGTGTGGGACTCTGATGGGGAGTTTTTGCTCATAGAGGCAGCGTACGCGATACCAAGATGGTTGAAACCAGAGAACAGCCAGAACAGGGTGTTCATCAGCCAGGGGTCACTTCACATTCTTCCACTGCCCACCTCTCCGGCTCACGTTGGCCTTTCTCTAGCAAATCCAACGCTGGCAGAGGCCGTGAGAGTTCTTTCCAGCGGAAGCGTCGACACTAGAGCTTCCGAGGGTGTCCAGGCAGCAATCGGCCGAAAGTTGGAAGGATATCCCGAGCGGTCGCGGAAGAACATGCACAGAGTGAGATGCAAGGTTCTTTGAGCGTAGCGCAGGTGCTCAAGCACGAGCCACAGCTGGTTGCTCTGGCGGTGGAGGCGTTTTACACTCGCGATCACGATGCAATGGCTGCGGCCTCGAGGATGGAGAAGTTTTTACGTGGAGGGCAGGATGAGATAGTCACCGTGGCGGTTTGCTTGTCCAAGGCTATGTACGCTCAGCTCAAGCAGCAGGTTTTCCAAGGCAAAACATTTCGAAAGGGCCTGGAGGCTAGAGGTTACTTTAAAGATCTTCTTGAAGGATCGAAAGAACACCGCCAGCTTTTGGACGCTGCCTTTGCCAGCTACCGAGAGACTGAAACGTTTTCAAGAATAAGGTAAAGGTTGACGGGAAGTTAATTTTTTAAAAGTTTTCTTCGTTTTTCCAGAGAAGCAATGCAAGTCCTTGCGAAACGAATTGACGAAATTTTGGCTTTGGAGCATAAAGCCGAGGATTTCATGAATGTGGATATCCCGGAAAGTGACGATGACTCGTGGTTATATAGAGGTGAAGATGAGCTAACAAGTGCCATGCAGGAGAGACAGAAGGAAATGGACGCTCACGATAAGATAAGTGGTGCTAAAACTCTGGCACCTGTTGTCGAAGGCGAGTTTGATCCCAGCGAAATGACCAAGACAATGAAGTCATTTGTGGACAAAATCTCAAGTTTTGAGGGTGCCGAGGTACCAAAGAGTAAGACATATTTTGTGATCTTGTTTTGGACTTTTGCTAACCATCAACTCTGACAGATGACGAGCCTGTGTCTATGGATTTGGAAAATTTTATGCAAGAGCTCAAAACACCGGGGACTTACAGTCGGGCTCCTCAGATTCAGATTCGGGTGAAGGTATTCGTTTTCTCTCCTCTCAATATGCAAGCTCTAAATTGTTTTCCGTTTGAAAACTCAGACGACGAAGATGAAGACCTTTCGAAAGGTGAGGATGATTTTATGGAGGAGTACTCCGACGCTATCCAACACGAACTTAAAAACTCGAGCGTCTCCAAAACATTTGCTCAACCTGACGTGTCTCGCGCTTCTGGGTCAGCATCTACTTCTGCTACCGCTACCGAAGATGACAACTTGCCCGTGGACGTAGACCTCAACCTGCTTAAGAACCTGCTCGACTCGTACTCATCGCAGCAAGGCCTGCCTGGACCAGCGTCTAACGTCCTGGGAATGATGCTCCCAGACGACAAGGAGGAGCATAAACGTAAGACTCGGAGGAAGTGCCGTAACGAACTGCGTCGATTTGGACGAGACAGAGACGGAGACAAAGCTTCCCTCGTAGAAACCAAACAGTGGAACTGTGTTACAACATAAGGCCCACGCGTTCGGATGAGACCAAGGTATTCACATTTATTTCTTTTTTTGCCTCAGATTTCTTCTCCCAGATAATACTCAACTTGGACAGTGCATAAGACATGTTTAATCATCGTTTTATGTTTTAATTTGCGGTTTCAGGAATTGTCGGGTATTTTAGAAGCTGGATCATGTGATTCCACGGTTCCAGGGTCACATCACGAGGCAGTAAAGTCGCCCAAGCTGGGAAATGAAGCAGCAGAGCAACAAACCGAGGGACATGGAGAAGCGGCCAAAGAGTGCTGGAGCAGCCTCCCCGTCGCTCAGCTGCGGGCTCTCGTCCTGGGTGCCAACGACTGCCTAGTCTCAATAGCATCTGGGCGTGAGTGCCAGGAACATTAACGAGCGTCATCTCGGGCATCGCGGGCCTCATCGCCGGCGCGTGCAGTATGGCAGTGGGAGAGTTCCTGTCGTGTCCTCGCAGCGCGACCACGAGCCGAGATAGAGAGGGAGGGGCGGCAGCACGCCGCCGGGGGTGCGGGAGAATTGACATGGACGCGCCGGCGCGACCGTGGCAGTGTCGACGACGGTGTTTACCACTGGCGGTGGCGTGCCCCTGCTAGCCGCGGGGTTCGTGGAGGCGTACTGCCATGGCGAGGCTGATGGTGTTGAGGCCCAGATAGTCGTGGACGAAGCCAAACACCGCGTTGGCGGCTGCATTTACAGTTGATTGTTAAAGTTAAAGCCGACTCTTTCTTAGAAGAAAACTAGAAATTGCCCAGCAAAAAGCTTGTGGGTTGGCAAGGTGAAGTCTTCAAAAAACTTTAAATCTGAGCCAAAAAGACATACATTGGCCAAGAGTTTTATGTCACAGAGACTTGGATAAGTTGAAAGTTTTAGTGTGAAGAAAGTGTGAAAGAAAGATCTTGCCTCAACTGCCTATGTGTGTGAGTACCAGATGATTGGAATAGCTTTGAGACTTGAGCATCATGGTTTTGTTTGCTGCATGGTTAGCAAAGGTAAATATAGTGCTAAAACTGATAGTACTAATCATTGTGTTATCTGATGTTTAGTTTGCATTTGTTTTTCTTTTCCTGCTGGATAACAAAGGAAAAACTTATGGTGAGATTTTTTTTTCTTCCACAAAATGGAAGCATGATACCTATTCCCAATTGGAGCAAATTATCTCAAACTAAAAGCTGCCTAAACCTTGGGAAAGAAGACATGAACATCACTTTGACAGGTATTTTCCATACTTTTACATATTGTATAGTGTTATGAGCTTGGCAGTGGTGGAAGCTATGGCTTTCTCTACTGCGATGGTGGCCTTTTCTCAATGCTATTGTCATTGAAGTTTTCTGCCATGTAGATCAAGATCCAAGATCTTCTTGGCACCCTGCCTGTCTGTCCCTATGAGTACTGACTTTTGTTTTTGTTTCAAAGACTTATAGAGCTCACCAGTAAGCATGCTCCAGCTTTGTCACAATGGTTGCCTGGGTGATTCTGTCCATCCAATTCCTCTTGCCACCCAGGTTTGTGGAAAGAGTTCTTTTAGAGATATTAGCGATTCTCTTTGAACCAATGCAGGTTTGGCTTCTTGGTGGCAATCAAGCACGTGCTATAGAGCAAGGGCAAGTGACTCTCATTCTTGATCTCGATGGTAAGGTTTTGACCTGGCAAAAATTGGCAGAATAGAGCAATTTCTTATCCCCAGGTAGGAATCCGTCTATGTTCTTACCATTCTTAAGCTCTTCTTGTAATGGTTGAAGAAGGTGGCATGGATTATTCGGGAGCCTTTATCTCTTGAAATGGGGAATTCCACTCTCAGCATGCAAAGAACCTAGGTCATAGCTGGATTTGTGGACTCAGAAAGAAGCAGCCGTTTCGCCTTGGTCACATTTGAAGGAAGCTATCACCACTATGGCTGACCAAGAAGCTTGCTGGCCTTTTGCATTAGGTCAGCAACTGTGCGCAAGCTGAGGTTAGGATTCTGGTCAACATGATAGTTCTGGATTCGCCTAGAAATGGTGGTGATTGGGAAACTCTTAGTCCAGTTTTGCATTTGTTTCTTGGGCAAGATAAGGGAGTGCAACACTACAACGTTGAAGGTTCTGTATCCTTGCCGAGTGAGAATCAATTACATCTCAAATAAGTTCAACATCTATAGAAATGAGATAAGGTTTTCAACATAGCTAGATTGCAGTCAAACCTGCAGTCTTGCTCATGTTGTGTTTCAGTTTTCTTCTTTATTAATTTCCTGTTTTTTTCTCCACTCCATCATTCTGCTTAAAATGATTAGCATAAAATGTAAGCTAATAATTTCTTTGTATCTCATATGTGCTTGCATTCGAGACATCTAAAATTTTGGCTGGTAGATGGAAGAGGATTAGCTGTTACAAACAGCCAGTTAGCTTATTGCAGTTTAAGCTATACTTCATCAGAATATAAATGGAGGAATTTGGCAGCGGCGGAAGCGTGGCTGACGTGTTTTGAGGTGGGAGAGCATGTGATGCTCTCGATTCTGGCAAAGCTTCTGGGGAATTTTGTTCCTGAAGCATAAAAAATCTGAATAATCAAAAATTGAGATTTTATTAGGAAGTGTTCACCAGTGCTTAGTAAATGTTCAAAAGAAGCACCGAAGACTGTGGAATGCTCGCGAGCAAATTGTCAGCCACCACTCATTTGAAAAATGCCTGAACAATGTCGGGGATAGCGACGCGATGTCCCGCTACACCTTGGTGATCGAGAACACGAGAACCGAGAGCTACATCACGGAAAATCTCTCGACACCAGGATGGTCCCCATATACTTTGGAGCTCCCAACGTCGTGGACTTCGTGTCTCCCATCCTGGCCAGCGAGTTTAGCAGCGTGGGGCGTCTGGCCGAGTTCCTCAAGGGACTGACTCAAGATCCAGTCCGGTATGCTGAGTACCACATTTACGGAGTGACTGAGAATTACTGCAGGACTAGAGCGCTCAGTCTTGATTCCCTTCCTTGCAGGCGGTGAGCAGGAAACAATAATTTTGTGAGTGCTCAGCTCGCCGTTTGTTTGTTTCTCAAGATCAGCATGAATCATTCCTTCACTTTCATTTGCGGCTCACGATTAGCACACTCGGCTGACATACTTGAGAGTAAGAGATAGCCACAACCATAATCAGCGAACTGGTCTTCATCCACCGCCGCCATCTTCTTTGCGATTCGCTCCCCTCGATCGAGATCTCCATGAAGCTTGCAAGCACTCAGCAGCGAGCTCATCGCAGCCGAGTCAGGCAGAAACGGCATGCTGTCGATGAGCTCCTCCGCCTCAGCTAAAAACTTGGAGCGTCCCAGAATGTCGACCATGCAATCGTAGTGAGCAAGCAGAGGCTTGATCCCGTGCACGTCGATCATCTCCCGGAAGCTCTCGCGCCCCTGCTGGAGCTTCCCTTCGTGGCTACAGCCCGTGAGAATGGCAACAAAGGTGAGATCGTCGGGCCTGACACCGTCGAGCGCCATGAGCCTCAATGCTTCCAAGGCGACGCTGCTATGCCCGGCTCGAGCATACGCGGACACCATCGCGTTCCATGATGGCACGTCTCTGCTGGGCATGGACTCAAACGTTTCCTTGGCACTCGTCGTATGCCCGGCGTGGGCATACCCCACTGCGACAATTGTCAAGGAGACGACGGTGTGGCCGGGCATGCGATCGAACAACGACTTTGCCTCGACCATCTTCTTTCGACCCACATACGCGAGCACCACCGAGTTCCAGGAAATGACATTCTTCCTAAAGGTGGCGTGGAAGATATTTACAGCTTTGGAGACATGCCCGGCCTGGGCATACGCCTGCACCATTGCATTCCACGACACAGTGTTCTTGCCTGGGATTCGATCAAACAACTCTTGAGCGTCATCGAATAGGCCGCGGCGAATGTAGGCCTGTGTGATTGAGGTCCAAGAAACCACGTCCGGCTCTGGGACCAGATCAAAGGTTTTCTTTGCCAGCTCAAGCTCTCCAGTCTCAGCGTAGACGGCCAGCATCGCATTCCACGATAAACAATTCCTGCACGGCATTCGATCAAAAACCTCCCTTGCTTTGCGGACGACATGCCCATTCTGAGCATAAGCCTGGACGAGCGCGGTCCAGACCACCACATCTCGCTCGGGCATTTGATCAAAGACCAGTTTGAGCTCGCCTACCATGGACTTTGATCCAAGGGCGGTGATAATCGCAGTCCAGCCCAAAAGTGTGTTCTGTGGCATCAACGCAAACACGCTCTGTGCTTTGTCAATATGCCCAACCTTGGCATATGCAGAAACTATGGCAGTCCACGCCACCACGCTCTTCTCTGGAATTAAATCAAAGAGTAATCGAGCTTGAACAAGGCTTCCGACTAGGAAGTAACCTTGTAAGAGCGAGGTCCATGCAACGAGATCTCTCTCGGGGATGATTTCGAAAAGTGTTGTAGCGCTGTCTAATTTTCCGTTTTGGGCACACGCCCACATCATCGTGTTCCAGGAGAAGATATTGCGGGGAGCAATGGATTCAAACACGGCACAAGCCTCGCCCAGGTAGCCGCATTTCCCATACGCATCGACAAGGAGGTTCATGAGGTAGCGTCGGTCGTGCGTTGCATAGGAGCCGGAGAGGATTTGCCTATGGAGATGCCTTGTTTTGTCGAGATCCTTGTTAAGAGCGCAGGATCTGAGCTTGCAAGCGAGAGCAGAGACATGCTCTTGTTTGGATTGACAATGTAGGTGTGCTAGATCGGATCTAAGCAACACCCGAGAGAAAATCATTGGAGCTCCTGATCATGTTGGCATATGTATAACTCCGGGCCAGTTCAGGTGGCACCGATCATGTCTCCACATTTGATGATGTATGATCATCATGTTCCAAGAGAAGACGAGCAATGGACTCAAACAGGCGCTAGGTAGCCGCATTTCCCATATGCCTCGACAAGGAGGCTGCTGAAGGAGTGGATATTTATTATTAGAAAAGTTTATGATAAAATACAACTTTGTCAGAAAAAAAATTATAAGAGATTAAATGTTTTACTCAAATATGAATAAAAATGTGTAAAATGAAGAAGTGAGGGCCAAATGTACAATTACAATGCCGTATACTAATATTAGCGTAGTGGGATTTTGGTAGCCGTCAGATTGGTTTCAATCCGAACCACTCGCTCCTATATATAAACTAGAGTTTTTGGGCTAATTGATATGCACATTTCTGTATTCCCTTTCTATATTCCATGCACTCACATTGGTGGAGATGAGAGGCACCTTTGATTGTCCCTGGGGAGTGCTTGGATTTGGGATTTCAATTTAGATATAGCTTTTGCATTATCTAGATCTAGCTTTTTCCATTTCCTTTCAGAATTTTGGTTTAGATCTAGCTTTTTGCATTGTCTAGATCTACTATTTCCTTTTAGCTTTTTTTATCATTTCTCTTCTTTTGCTTTTTCTTTTTCATTCGTCTCTATGGTAGATCAGCAATCTCCTCTAAAGTAGTAGTTGGTACAATTGCTTGATGCTATGTGCTTGCAATTGAATAACCAAACTCAGTTGATGGTGGCGTTCACGGCACATGGTACAACTCCTCCTGCTCTTGGTGCCAATCCTCACGTTCTGCCGGAGTTCTTTCTCGGGAATCTTAGGGATGATGTGTACCATTGGTTTGATCACTTTACGGTGATTGCCACATATCATTCTTGGGATGATGCTCGACGTTTGCGTGAGTTTCCCACGTGTCTCCAAGGGATGGCATTGCAGTGGTACAACGGTTTCAGAGCAGCCACTCGCGGGGATTGGATTGTTCTTCCGGATGTCTTCAAATGCACCTTCAGACATGCCGATGATTGTGATGATGCTTTCCAACAATTGCATCATTTTCGCCAAAGGCCATCTGAGTCAGTGATGCAATTTGGTGTTCGTTTCCAAAGTCTTTTGCTTCGTGCGGACCCAAATATGTCGGAGCGGATCAAGCTAGGAATGTGTGGCTAGCACTTCGTCAAGATCTTGTCGGACTTGTGCATGCACTTGCTCCCGCCACCCTTCACAATGCTCTTCGCTTGGCACAACGTTATGAGACGTTGCCTCTTCCACTTCTCGCTGCACATCCTTTAGCTCCATGTCCTGTGGGTGATAGTCCTGTTCCAATGGAGGTTGATGCTGCTGCTGCTCGAGTCCAAGGTCAAGGGCGAGGACGTGGTCGTGGCCGTGATGTTCGCTGCTGGGCATGTGATGAAGTTGGTCATACTTATCGGCATTGTCAGCGTTTTCCGGATTGGCAACCTCCATTTCCTGGGTGGAGACCTTGGCATCAGCGATGTCCCGTTGGTGCTGCTACAATGGATGGTTTGGACACCGAGATGCATCTGGGAAACGAGGAGTCGCGCGAGTAATGGAGGGACCTTGCGCGAATAAGTCAGTGACCCCTCCATCTTTTTTTTGGGAGTATCATCAAGGGGTTCACTCGGCACCAGTTCATCCAGTGTTTACTTTCCAAGCTCATCTTTATAACAAGAGGTCTCCTATTATTTTCTCCGTGTTGGTTAATACAGGTTTGAGTTTATCTTCTATTGCTCAACCTGTTGCCACACATTGTCATCTACACTTGCGTCATGTGGTGGAACCAGTTTTCATTCTTTATGGCAACGGCTGTACACATGCATATGCACGGGATGAGGCAAACCTGGTTGTGCGTGTGGGCGATCTCGAGCTTGAGTTGCAGTCATTACAGATAGTGCCAAGTCAAGCTTTTGACCTCATTCTTGGTATAGATTGGTTGCAGCGTAATCATGCCAAGTGTGACTTTGAGGCTTCTCCCCCTTGTCCTATACTTCCTTACGTTTTATCCATTCCTCTCACTTTCGTACCTCTTTGTCCCTCTACTTTTACCTCTGCTTCCATTACTTTTGTTTCCCCACTCTTTCCTCCTGTGTTTCTATCTTGTTCTGCTCTTCCCTTTTCCGATCCCTTCGACGATCTTTGTGTTGCAGTAGTTGACCGGCTTATGAAGGAGTATTCTGATCTCTTTGACTTTGACCTATTGTCTGGAGCTAAGATTGCCACACGTCATCCGATTCCAACTGGGGATGCTCGTTCAATCAAGGTTCCTATTCGTTGTCGATCACCCAAGGAGATTAAGATCTTACGTGCAAATGTCAAGGGGATGTTGGAGAAGGGTGTTATTCAGAAATCACGGAGTCCTTGGGCATGTGAACCTCATCTTATGACGAAGCCTGGTGGGAGTATTCGTTTCTGCATCGACTATCGTCCGTTAAACAACGTAACGATCCCGGATGTGTACCCTCTTCCTCACACTGCTGATCTCTTGGATCATCTGGGGCGAAGTCATTGGTTCACCAAGCTAGATCTTGCTTTTGGGTATTGGCAAGTACCGATGGCTGAAGAAGATATTCCTAAGACTGCTTTTCGTACACCATTTGGTTTGTACGAGTTCTTGGTGATGCCATTTGGTTTGAACAATACTCCAGCAACTTTTCAATGGATGATGGACGAGATTCTTTGCGATATGCCAAACGTGACTGCTGACTTCATTGATGATGTCTTGATCCACTTGGAGGGGACGTGGGAGGAGCACGTTCGTGATGTTTGTAAAGTGTTGGATCGGCTACGCAACGTTAGATTAAAGCTGAAGCGGTCGAAGTGCGTGTTTGGATCCAAGGACACAACTTATCTTGGGTACCGTATTTCTGGTGAGGGTTTGCAAGTTGATCCTGACAAACTTGTGGCTATTCTGAAGTTCCCTACTCCGAAGTGTGTGAATGATGTGCAACACTTCTTGGGCAAGGTGCAGTATCTCGGGCGTTTTGTGGATCATTATTCTGATCGCACTGCACCATTACGAGCGTTGCTGAAGTCATCAACGTCATCTTTCATTTGGTCTCCGGATTATGAGTGGGCATTCAGGGATCTCAAAGAATTATTGATAACTCCTCCGGTTTTGGGATATCCTGACTACACTCGACCTTTTATTTTGCACGTAAGCTCTATTTCGTTAAAGTGGGATTTATTCAATAAAATGGGACTAGGTACAAATTTTCAAGTATTTGAAAATGACGTGAAATTATATGTTTTTTGTCCAGGGGCTAGACATATCTGGGGCATGGTGACTAGCGCGGTGACTTTGTGTCCAGACTGAGTCCATCTGGTTGTATAATAAATCTCATTGTCAAGGTGAACAAGCCGAATCTGAAGCTAAAGAAGAGCGATGGCATGCGTGCACACACTATTTGTTTGTTCATTGAGCGTGTGGTGAGCTTTCCAAGATGAACGTCATTCCTATTAGCCAGACATATAACTTAATGGTGAGAACATTTAGATATTATTCAATGTTATCTTTTTCTAACGAATCTAATTGTGAAGGTGTAGCAAGAGGCATTGCTAGTCTATGCTTTATTTCGTTAAAGTGGGACTTATTCAGTAAAGTGGGACATTAATTAGCATGTGTCCACATGCCATTTCCTAGTACTTAATTAATATTTATTAATATTTCTATCAGTTTTTTAATTTATTTTTTATATTTCACAATATTATAACACAAAATCATATAAAAAGTTTTTAATTTATAAATTATAAAGTTAAAACTTCAATTTTTTATTGTTGTTATAAAAATGGCATGTGGCCACACACCATAAGTGGGATAATGAAAAGTCCCACTTTAACGAAATAAAGCATGTCTGGAGAAGTCATTTAACTCATTTGACCCTTAGTGTATTTTCATGAAACTAAATAACATTCATATTATTAAGGAATTTCTCTAGTACCTTTTTTTTACGACATAGAGGCTTGCATTTCTTTCAAAGGTGATTTAGTAAAAGGCCTGAGGGCACATGCCATTCTATTTCTCAGACCGGTATTAAGATATACTAGTGCAAAGGGCCACATGCCATCACGCCTCCTCTGATTCAGATTCGGATTGTTCACCTTGAAATAAAATACATTAGAAACTTACTAAAGGAATATTAATGAATCTCACCTTGAACTCGGGTTATGAATGCTCTTGCTGCATCTCTTGCATGGTCTGGCAAGGTGATGGTGGCACTCTGCTTCCGCATCCAACCATGCACAACATTATCCACCGATATGCTCATGCTGGGATCCCTTGGATTCAGCACCCATCTCTTTTCTAGGCAATCCTTCGTATATCCGGAACTTGGCTTGAACCACTCCACAGTTACATTGAAGGAGTTAGTTTCCGCGTCCTCCTCTGCATCAGTGATGCAGTGCCCCACCCATATCATTTGTTTTTTATTACTGGGTCTGACAAGCACGACCATTCCTTTGCAGACCTGTACTGGATTGAATGCTGAATCCGGCTTCTTGTTCCTCGGCCCACAATAGTGATCCTCAACATCATTATCTGTCACTGCATTTCCAGAGGACATTGTTCCGCTACTATCTGGTGCTCTGGGTTCTGGCCAAAAGGACTCTTCCAATTCTTCATATACAACCGGCCCATTTTGGATAGCAAATATAATCTTCTCCCAGTATTTGAGCAAAGGCTTGCACCTCTTAAAATAGGATTCTATACCAAACACCAACCCCCTCTTCCAGAAGGCAATATGCTGTCTAATCCCGGC